TCTAAGTAAGGACTCTGTATTCTAGTATATGAAAATAGCACAGTTTTCCTCTTGAACATTTTGCTGAGCATTTAGGCTTGCTTTTTATTTGCTATCATGAATAGTGCTATAGCAAATACTTTGTATGCTTCTCCTTCTGTATTGGTGTAAGGGTATGTCCAGGGTGCATACTTAGAAAAATTGTGTCATAGCAAATGAATACTTTAAACTCTCCCAGCTATTTTCAAACCATTCACTAGAGAGATATATAAATTTATAGTCTGCTAACAGGAGACGGAAATTCCTTAGTTGTGCTTACCACTGAGCTGATTTGCCTCCATTTATTTAGCATTTTTTACATCTATGCTCATTGGTGAAATTGTTTCATAATCTTTTTCCTTGAACTATCCATGTCCATTTTGGTATCATGAGAAGCAAATTGTTATAGTTTCAAAATTCATAAGTGTGAAAGTGTGGAGAGGTAGAATGTTGTGGGAAGTGGTTAATTCCCGAGGGCTGTGCTCTTATGCATGGGTCCGTGCTTTTATAAAAGAGGTTGAAGGCAGTGCCTGCATGCCCTTTGCCCTTCTGCCATGTGAGGACACATCATTTGTCTCTTTTATCTTTTCTGGCATGTGGTGACGCAGTGGTCATCCTTTTTACCTTCCCTCTTCTCTAGAGGAGGCAGCAAAAGGTGTCGCATTGGATACACAGAACAGCCCTTACCAGACACCGAAACTGCCAGAACCTTGATCCTGGGTTTCCCAATCCATTGATTGCCAGCGGCTTTAGTCTGACTGTCAGTCACTCTTATTTCTTTTTAAGTAACTTTATCTCTGGTAGGCCTTAAGATCCTCTCTGGGTCTCAGTTGTACAGTTTCACTATAATATACCCAGGTGATATTACCAGATTTATTTTGATTGATATTCATTCTCAAAGATTACTGCTTCAAATATGGATTCTTTATCATTTTCTCCTTTTACTTTTGTGAGAAACACATTTCTATTCTTTATAAATAATCTATTCTCTCATATTTTGTTATGACAGCATAAACATACTAAAAGACTATCTTTTCCTGTTTTTCTATTCCATGAAGATAAGTGGTTATAAAATGGATATAGTCCCTTAAAAGTTTGGTCAAAGTCACCTCTGTAATCCTTTGGATTCTGATTTTTTTGAGGACTTTGATTTTCCTTACTCATACTCATCGAGGGATCTCAACTATGTTTTGGTAAATTTTACATTTAAGCAAACTTAAAAAAATATATGAATTAAAAACCTGATGATATATATAATAACTGTCTTTTCTATCCCCAGGAGTGTTTTGTGTCCTCTCCAAAATGTGTTTTGTCAGAGTTTAATTTTCTTTGAACTTTTGAGGAGTTCATTTTTGGACTTACTGATTTTTTTCACCCCTATTATTTCATTCACTTTTTCTCACTTTGTTTCTTCTCTATTCCAATTTTTAAAAATTTTATTATAAAAGGAGTAGTAAATGAGAAACAAACAAACAAAAAGAACAATAGCAGCATACCAGTATCACAAACATAAACAAACCAAAACAAGAACATTTAAAGCGATACAGGGTTTCAAGACAAAATGATATGAATTAACAGTGGTTGTTACATTACATATAGCTATCCTCAACTACACTACTCAGATTACCAGATGTAAGAATGGAAGATTGTTCAAACCATTAAAGAGAATAAGAAAATAGTTATTAGATAAAACATTAGAGATAATACAGGGTTTCACTAGACAAGATGGTAGGAATTCACCCTGGTAATTCCATTGCATATTGTTACCTTCAAATCAGTTGCTCAGATTACCAGATACAAGCATGCAAAATTGATCAGAACATAAAAAATTTTAAGCATTAACTTCCTTTCAATATACCATCAGATATCAGCAATATAGTTATCACAGCTATTCATATATATATTTACATTTTGCCTGCCTTCTTTCTTTTTTCTTCTTTCCCTCATCCTATTTCCTTCCTTTGAGCAATTTCTTTCCCTTTCCTATCATCTATTGTACATTTTGAGTTTTACTTATTCTTTTAGGTTCCTATACCAAGGAGACAATATGATGTTTACACACGTGGGTCCAATTTTCCTTCTCTATTCTTTAAGGTTTTAGATAGAAATCTTTTAAGTTCTTTGAGTTCTTAACTTTATTTTCTCACCTTTTTATTTTTAATAGAAGCTTTAGTTGCACTCTACAAGTTTGTGTATGTCATATTTCTATAGTCATTCATCAGGGAGTGTGTTGTAATTTCCATCATAATTTATTATTAACCTCAAATTATCTAGAAGTACATTTTGGAATTTCCAAGTATGTTAGGTTTTGTTTGGTTTATTGTTTATTGCTTGTTTCTAATCTAAATGTCTTCTTGTCAGGGAACATTTTCTTTACTATTCTTCTTTCAAATCCTTGTATGACTTGAAATTTGGTAGTTTTTCTTTTGTTAATAGTCTATGTGTTTGAAAAAAATGTATATTTGCTATTTGTTTGGAGTAGGGTTTTATATATTAGATCAAATGTGACAGTTTATTCAGAGCCTATACATCCTTTCTACTTTATTGTATATTTGATCCATGGAAGTCCTATAGAGCTATAAAATGACCTTATGCTGTGATTCTTTGCCAATTTCTTTTTATGAAAAAATATGTAATGTGAAATTTTTGTTTTTAAAAGGAAAATTTTTAATCCATTTATATTTATTGTGAATACTGACATTTGGATTTGAGCATATTTTGTATTGTTTGCCATCTGCTTTTTTCATCACTGCTACATTCTGCAGAATAGATAGCTTTCTGTACATTCCCCTTCTCATTCCTTCAGTGTTTAACCTTAAGTATTTAAGAAATTAATGTGAACTTTTATGGAAAAATGTACACAGTAAGTCCTTGACTTACCAACATTTGAGTTGTGAACTTTCACAGATGTACTGTATAAGATTCACAGCTGTACTGTACAGGTCTTACTTTGTGGGTTTATGAATGAATCCAACACACAAATGTTCTCCTGGAACACAGTTTGTTCATAATTGGAGGACATACCATAAAATGTATACCTCTGTTTTTCTCCTATGTGTGATGAAGGCTGTCACATAAATTACCCTTTGACTAGTTCCTCCTCTTCACCATGTTATTTCTTGGAATTCTAGTTTTCTTAAAAATTTTCTTCTCAGATATATTTCTTCTTTTAGTGGGGGGGGTCTATGGGTGATAAGCCTCATAGTTCATCAAATATTTTATTTTTCCCTACTTTTTAATTAACATATAAATTGCACATATTAATGGGACTCAGAGTCATATTTCCATACATGCACAAGTCTTTGACGATAATTAATCCACTGTTTTCTAGCGACTTTTATTTGACTGTCAGATTTATTGCTATCTCTTTTTAAGTAGCTCACTATCTGGTAGACTTTAAGATCACATCTGGGTCTCTTAACTATACAGTTTCCCTATAATTCACCCAGGTGATATAGCTAGATTTATTTTTTATTTCCAAAGATTACTGCTTCAAATATTGCTTTTCATTTTCCCTTTTACTTCTCCTGCACCTCCCATTATGTGGATGATGAAGACCTTCATTCTAGCCACCATTTCTCTTAATTACTTTTTCAGAAGAGTGTGGCATTGTGGATGAGTTCCCAATACTACTTTCCAATTCGGTAGTTTACTTTTTTGCCAGTGTCTGATTGAGAGGGTGTCCCGAAAATTAACTTTTAATTTCAATGACCATTTTTCATGTTCAAGAGCTCTAAAGGCCTCTTAGCTTGGCTTAGTTCCTAATATCAAAGTCATGTCTTTGACTCTTATATTCCTTGCTCATAGCTTCTGATAAAGCTCCAAACTCCAAACGGATTGTCACTGTTATCTTTCCTTTTCTTGGTTTTTTGAGAGGGGAAGTTGGATCCAACAGTAAAAGGGCTCCAATCTACTCTACCCCCCAGAAGCCACATACCCCACCTGCGTAATCTCTGGTCCTGGCCCCCAGAAAGCCTGTGGTTTGAGCCTAGTCAGCAGCTTGCTATGCTGTTGTGGTTTTATTGCTCTGTTCTGTCACTGGCATGCTTCAGAGCAGAATGGGTTTTCAAAATGGGAACTTGGATCCACAAGTTCCCTTTGGTGGCTCTTATCAGCTACTGCTTAGCTGGTCAGGGTTTGCTTTTGCTTATGATAGTGGTGAGATAAGTTCCATTGCATAATAGAGGAACTTTTCCAAGTTTTTGATACATAAGCCTTCAGCAAGAGCCATTTCAGTGTGCTTAGGAACACACCTTCCTGTACTGATTTCCATACTCCACTTCCGTCTTGTCTTTTCCCACTATTAGAAGAGTGGTTACATACTCAAAGGCCAGACTGCCAACATTCAAAATCGGTTTTTCTCTTGAACTGCTTAGGGCCGATTTCTTAATCTTGTTATAGGTATTTCTAAATCTATAAAATGGGAATATAAAGATACCTTACACAAAGGGCTCTGTGACTTTCAATGAGACAATATATGCAAATCATAATTTTGAGCTCTTTGTCTTTATAATTATCATGAGCTAGAAAACTTCATTGAGAATGCTGGCATTACCTTTTCAGACATAAAAATGTGGTATATGGACATATTTGAGACATTGTGATCTGGAAGTAGTTTTCTAGTCCTTTACCTTGAAGTTAAATGGGAAACATTCCCCCCCTATAAAACCTCAGGCATGCTCAGTGCAATCTTTTCTTTGTCTCTGAAACACTCCTGAACACTCTATCAATGTTATCACATTTTTGCAACTGACTGTCTCCTGTTTAATGTGTGTTAGTTTTGTCATCTTGTGTGGATAAGCATATGGAGGCCAGGGATTGATCTTCTTTACCTAAATCACCGCTTTACATGTAAGGTACACCTGGGAGCTCAGTATGTATTTCTTGAGTAGATCAAAATACAGAGAAACAACTCAAAAACCTTAATGTCATCAATCGACAGGAGCATACTTTTTAAGCTAACAGGGACTTCAGACACTTACCCAAGTCTTCATTTCCATTGCCTGGTGCAGGAGGATGGTGGTGAGGGAGATGGTGTTGATTGGAGTTCCAAATGTGAAGACATCAATATCAGAGCCTTTGTAGGTCTGCAGAGGAGGAACAAACAGGTATTTTGAGATGTAAGGCTTTGATACAGCGATTATAAAGTATCAGTGAAGGCAGGTGTCAAGTGAGGGGAAGGAAGGAGAGAAGGCATCCAGTTGATACCCAAGGAACACATGAGAAATAAGTTGATGGGACTCATTTATTCAGAGGCATGTTTGCCAGAAGTAGCCATAACGAGGGCTGTAAAACCCTTGCAGAATGAATGAACAAAAGCTTTACTAGGCACCCACCAAGCCCTGTGCTGAGGCTACTTCTGTGTCCACTTTCAGTGAATTTGCGGTGCGCTCGGCACAGCAGATATGGTGCGATTTAAGGTGGTAAGTGCTAGAGTAGAGATGAGGACGGGGCCCCGGGAACACAGAAGACAGATCAGCTGAGATAAGAGTACGGGAAGTTAGTCACTTGAGAACACAGGGAAGTGCAGACCAGGAAAAAGTCAGAGCTAAAGATAAGCATAGGAGGTTTGTAGAACTCTGTACTGCTGTGTTCTATCTGTTAAGCATTTGGTAGGTGCAAAAGATAAAGCAAGAAACACAAAGAGAGACCAATTAGAAACTAGTAAATCTGAGCAAAGCATAAGATGCTTGCCTTCCACAGCCCTCTCTTTTGCTAATTGTAACATAATATGAGCTCAGAGGCTCAGTAAGCATCATTGTTCACCTGGTGGCAACTGGCCAACAACCTGGCCCTCTGTCCAGGAAGAATACAGGTATCCTTGCTAAATCCTTAAACTGGGAACCAGACTGAGATGGGATGGTATTATTTGCTGTTATGTAACTGATATTTATTTAAGATAACATTGTACCCATTTTATCAAAACTTGTTGCTTTGAACTTGGAAGTAAATATATGTATATATATATATAATTCAAGGCCTATAAATTCACACATCTTTAATAATCAGGCAGGAAGCAGTGAACGAGCAAAATATTCCAGGTGTAAGACACAGGACAATAGTGGGGACAATGTCTAGAAAACTAGACAACATGTTCCCCATCTAAGCAGCCCTGGGTCAACTCTTGATGCTTGTTATGAGGAAGAAATGATCCAGTGGAATGACACGGCTCTTGGTTTTTCAAAAGCTGCCAGAAAGTAGCACTCTGTATGGGCTGTAGAATGCAACCACAAGTTTGGAGCCTCTTCTCTGAAGCGTGCAAAAAGACACTGCTAGTCTGCAACTGCGTATAACCAGGATGGATCATGCGCTGTGATTTATGTGTCTAGAATGAGACCCTGGGACTTACCAGGTAAGGGATAAAGAAACAAATGAGGCTCTGGTAGAATGCATCCATCATGGAAATCCAGAAAGTTGAGAGGTTGTAACACTGCCAGGGAGAAACACACCCACAGTTAACACCGCTGAAGCAAACTCTGTTCTTTGCAAGCAACTTTCTTGTGTGTGGCTGCCAGGTGATATGTCACTTGCGATGCTTCTTGTAGCCACAACAGAATGGGGCTCAGGTGTGAGGGTGACAGATTTTAGTGCTAGTCCCAGCTCTGCCATTCATAGTGTGACCTTGTAATAATTACTAAACTGCTCTGAGAACTGGTTTCTTTTTCCCTAAATGTAGATAGGTTCATTTCCTTGGAGTTGAAGAGGACTAAATGCACTTGCACCTTGATATCTGGCAAGTGCTCAGCTGTTAATGATTAATCACTACTCCTGTGGCTTGCGCTACTACAAACCCGTACATCTAGAGATTGAAAAGTTTCTAAATGACATCAATCACGTACCAGGACCACAGGACCACAGGTCCACAGAGATAGCACAATGGCTGCAGAGACAAACCTTCTCACTTTTTGCTTCACACTTTCTGCCTTCCTGGGGAAAAAGGAAACCCTTACAGTTTATGTTCTAACTACACTGACCTCCTTACATGGTAGACACTCAAGGGGGATGATGTGCAGCCAGCATGCCTGTGGGAAAAGGAAAACTGGAAGAGCCTAAGATATGTCTGGGCTGCCTCAGGCCTCCTGCTTGGACTGCTCTGTTGGTTTTTCCTCCTGCCTTTGGGTCAGGACTGGGCTTGATTCTTTGTTGGCTGTCCACAAAAAAAATCAGTAGATTTCAGAAACCACAGGCAGTTTTGTCCTCCTTTGTCCTAGGTGCCAATTTGTTGTCCTCTCAGGTGTTTCTGAACCTCTTTTCCTAGAGCTCCCCTCAAGGCAGCCAGGTCCCTCTGGTCTTCTCCATCCCATATTCTTACCTGTCTTTGGGCTTCTCTGACCACCTGCAGTGCCTGACATCTGCCTTCTCTAAATCTCTCATGGCTGCCCTGTGGCCTTTCTGGTCTTTCTAAAAAGAAACCTGATGTCTTTCCTTCTGCTTGATACCCAAGTTCCAGACTGTATGTAATCTTTACTTCTAAATTTTGCCTTCCCCATTGTGAAGTAGAAGCATTTGTTTATGAGTGTACTACCCAGTAATCAGCAAACTGACATTTAGACCCAGGGCTTCCCAAACTAGGTGCTATGGATTGGATACAGTTTGTATGTGACCCTCAAGGGTTCAAATTCTGGCACCTTGGTCCTCAGCATAGTGACGTGAAGAGATCATAGCATTTTTACAAGATGGGACCTAGGGGCAGGTGGTTAGGTCTTTGAGGCTACTGTCTTGGATGCAACTAATGCCCGTCTCCAAGGGTGGCTGAGTTTCCCCGAGAGTGGTTTGTTATCAAAAAAGCAGGCCTGCTCCTGGATCTCTCTGGCTTTCTCTCTCACGTCAGGTCTTAGTCACTTTTCTTGCTGCTGAAACAAAATACTTTACACCCAAAATTAAAAAAGGAAAGGTTTATTTGGCACATAATTTGTAGAGGTTTCAGTCCATAGTTGGCTGGCTCCAAAGCAGGGTAGCATAGCTGAGGGGCATCACAGAGGAAAAACAGTCCATGGTGTGGAAGGGCAGGAAGAAGGCAGGAAAGCAGCAACCAAGGAGCATCAGGCAGCAGCAACAGCGGCAGCAGCAAGTGATGGCAGCCGTCCTGTTTCTTTCCCTTACATTCTGTCCCTCATACACCCAGGGTAGGGCATCCTTAATCCTAGCAATGCAGCATTAATCCCAGCATCACACACCCTAGACCCAGCTGCCTCTGAAAAGCCTCACCTGTGACAGCATGAGGATTTGGGGCTTACCTAGATACAAGCGATAACACCCCTTATGATCTCTCCTCCTTGCTCATGTTTCTACTGGGGTGCCATTTTGATGGTCTGATACAATCAAAGGCTGACCAGATGGGGTTACCTGATCCTGCACTTACTTACAACATCCATAAGAGTAGGCTAAATAAACTCCTTTCTTTTTCCATTATGCAGACTCAGGTATGAGTATTTTGTCATAGCAACTACAAAAGACTAATACACTATACCATGGGGGTTCAATTTATGTACTTTGAGGCCCTAGGAGAGATGTAGCATTTTTCTGCATGTTATTTCCCCTTTCACCTAGGGCAGTCACATCTTGACTTGTGATATAACTTAAAAGTGATTAAAAGAAAAAAATGTATTCACTGGTCTGGTCCAACACCCTCAGGAGCAAATGAAACAGGCCAGGAGTTAGGAGAGGAGTTACTTAAAGTCACACCAGTGGTAAGCAGCAGAACAGTGGCTAGAACGCAAGACTCTCAACTTCTAGCCTGGTGCTCTTCCTTTGACACCCAGAAAAGTGAGAGAGGCCAGAGACAAGCTGAGGCTACCTCTTCCTCCCTGCCTGGGCCCTTTACCTCAGAATTTTGGCCATTCTTGTACAGCTCGGGCAACGCCAGGAGTGTTTCTGCAGAGATGTCTTTATCAAGGATTCCGAAGATGATAGGAGGCAAAGAGGTGAAGAAGAGGTTGAAGAATATCATCTGCCAGTAGTCGATCATGGTGGAGCCGGAGAAGCCACAGAAGAACTGATACCAGAAGAGCAGGTTGACATAGCACTGCAGACAGAGAAGGCTTCGTGAGCGATGGCCCTGTGTGCTGTTGGTCAGCAGCTGCTGCTGAGGCGCTTTGACCTCTCACCTATGTGCTTGGGGCCTCCATCTTCTCATTCCTGACACGCAGGCCGATCTTTAACCCTCACTACAGCAGCTCCTGCTGTTAATACTTCTGTTACTATTATTAGTGTTCTTCAAGACTCCAAGGGAACGCCATTAATGTGTGAAGTAAGGATACTACGGTGGTTCAGAGGGCAGGTTTTAAATTCCCAGGTTTGCTGCTTCCTAACTGTGTGACTTTGAACAAACTTCTTAACCTTTCTGAACATTACTTTGTCACTTGCCACAGAAGCAGTAATGCATAGGCCTTGTTGCATGAATGGCTGCAGTGTGGTAATAGATAGTGAAGGGATGTCACTGACAGAAGCCAGAACCATGAGCAGGGAGCCCGAGAGAGGCTGACCTCATGAGAAGGTTTACCATTCCACGCTCTCCCTTATTATTCAGAAGGGTGAATAAGAAAATCTTCTGCCTAAGCATTGCTTTATTATTGTTTTTTGAAAGCTGTTTCTTCCTGGGGATGGGCTAGGTCCCTATTATCTCTACCATATTGTGAAGTGTTTGGTGACATGACCAAGGTCATATCAGCAGCTGGACCTGGAGTTAGCTCCACAGAACTGAGATGTTCTGATTCTGAGGCACAGCGATGTGAAGGGTCTTACAAGAAATGAGTCAGCAGCTTTATGTTCATGCTAGAATTCTCATTTCCTAACTGCTGGGTTGGTGTTATTTTGAAGAAGCAATTATTATCATTATTAATAGTAACACGTTAATACTTTGTTCTAATATCAATTATAATTATTATAATTATTCTGTCTATGCCACAAGTGATTCACATTATTACGTATCACCATGCAGTAGATCACTAGATGTACAATGCACATAATTGGTCCTAACATCCTTGTAAGATTATTTTTGCTAATAATAGCCTTGTATTTATGTTATTATATTAATAGGACATATTGAGAGTAGTAACAGTAATATCAATTATTAGTCCTAGTCTACAGATGGAGGTCTGAAATACCTAGTTGCTCTTCGCCCAAGTGGAGAGCTAGAAAGTGGTACAGGGAGGGAGCATCTGAATTTTCAAGCTTCTTTTGCTGTAAGTACTCCCAGCCTTTCTCAGTCCTAACTTTGGCTTACACAGTGAGATTCTTCTAGACACCTATGACCTGCCAAATAGCAAGTATCCCTAGTCTGGCAATTGCAGAAAAAATGTTCTGAGCCCCGAGGCTTGCTGTGTGGCTCCATCTCTACTCTGTCCCTGCAGCCCACCACTGTTCCCCCCACGCAGAAGATATTCAGTAGTTATTTGGGTAGCTGGAGTAAAATCTATGTTGTCTGGTTCTACACAGCCCCTTGAAGTCTCACTACTGCAGACTGTCTGCTTCCTCCCTGGGGCTCTGAAGGGATTGTGCCTGCTGAAATCTCCACATCTCACAGGGAGCCTATTGAACCCCACGGCAGTGTAGCTGAGATGGGATGTTTGCTTGCTTTCTCCTAAGAAGCTTCTATGCAGTAATTAATTCATTGTTCACATTTCAGAGCAGGGAGGGTTTTAATCCCCTCTGAAATTGGTTTCGGATGTGGGAGTCATAGTTCTCCACCTTCTAATTGCAGTAGGAAGATAATGTGGCATCAGTATCGCAGTTTTGAGCACGGAATCAGGCTAGAAATAAATATCATTTAAACTTTGAAAGCATGGCTGGCTGGAAACGTTTCCTTTTCTATTTCACAAATTTAATGCAGAGGAGAGGCTGTGCTTATTCAAAAGAACGATTCCTTTGGTTGCAAAAAAAGTAAATTAAACAGGGACATTTTGAATTCTAAATAAGCAGCCTTTCATGCTCAGAGTGAGTTTCAACTCAAATGGAGTTACTTGTTTGCATAGACTTGCTTAGATAATATTACCATCTAGTTGATCGAATTTACATTATTTTTTGTCATGCTCTTTATTTACATATGTATTGAACTTGGCACTGAAATGCTCATCTCCGACTGTGGCAGAGACTAGAGGGAGGACTGTCACAGGGGACCCAGGGCAAAAAAGTCACAATTTTGTATCTGTTCCTTGGCTAATCCACCCTGGTCTAAATCTTCCTTTTTTCCTTATGCAAAGAGGAATTAGATTCTATTGGGGAACTCCTGGGGATTATTCACAGGTCTTTGAATTTGGTAATGAAAAACTGAGGCCTTTGTTCCTTCCCTTAGTATGGTGATGTTCTGACTCTTTCCTATACCCACTGTTAATCAGACTTTTAGAACCTCTAGCAGCTTGAGTATCACAGTGTGGGCTTGTTTTGGACCCCTGACAACAAGACAGGAACCAACATAATTTTTAGGAGACACAACACTGTCTATAGTTATTCTACTGTCTTCTATTTCTTTGCTGAAAGAAACTGTTAATGAGTCCTTGATTGATCAATATTGCATGTCTCTATCTGTTTTCATGAGAAACCACTTTCAAGATATCAATATGTAATACAACAAGCATTGTTCATTTCCTACCACTTTGTAATTCTGTATTTTCTGTACTGTTCTTTTGCTATTTTGTAAAAGGTTGTCTGTCTGTTAATGTTTTCCCCTTTTTATTTTTAAAATAAAAAATAGACTTTAAAACAAAACAAAACAAAACAAAACAAAAATATTGTTTGTATAATGCTATGTGCTTTCCAGAGCTCTGATCTGTAAGCCTCATAATAATACTTCCAGGGACAGTGAGATGATACACTTTCTATATTATTGGTGAGGAAACTCAGGCCCAGTTAAATGAAGTGACTTTTCCAATGTTATCCAGCGTGTTAGAGTCAGAAAATATTATAAGCCAGATGATCTGCCCATCCCAAGCACTTTTTGCCAACAGATCACTCATGTCCCCAGGAGCTCCTATAAGGAAGCCTGGAGGTTTCTAGTGATATTCAGGTCTGGGGTTGAAGCCAGGGGCTCCAGGCTCACATTGTGTGAAGGACCTTCATTCTCTCAAGGTGTGGTGCATTGGGATGGCTCTAGCTGGAGAGAAAAATTTATGATAGAAGTCAGGCGAGCTCAAATCCTCCTTCCTTGTGACAGAAAAATCTCGTTTGTGAAATTTAACTGTAAGGAGTAATGACAGCAACAATGCTAATGAAAAATAATGGGTAACCTTAAGAGTTATTACTTCACACCAATCATTTTATATGCAAACTCACATTGAAACTTTATAGCAAATATATAACTGGGGTAAGTGTCCCCGCACAGGCCCGTGTGTTAATGTTCAGTTGACATCCTGTGGAACCATTTGGAAACCAGGCCTAGAGGAAGGAAGTGAGGTCACCTGGGGTGGGTATCTCTGGCCCTTCCTCTTTTGTTTCCTGTTGCCACGGGGCAAGGGGTTGCCTCTGCTCCATGTTCCCACCATGACACTTTACCTCCCTGTAGGCCCCAAAGCAAAGGACCAACCAACCATGGACTGAAATCTCCAACAGTGAGGGAACAAAACTCTACCCTTTTAAAGTCACATTAGGTATTTTGCTGCAGTAATGAGAAACTGACCGAGAGCACATATATGAGAAAGATACTATTACCATGTGCATTTTACAGCTAGTGAAACTGAGGTTCAGGGACATTACCACACAAAAGAACCTGAATTGGAACCCAGAGTCCATACCTGAAGCCATTCGTGCTGCCTCCCACATGCCAAGTGCCTTCTATGCAGTATTGCCAATTTTTACAATAACTTTCAAAGAGGCTACCATGGTCCAGAGACATGAACAGTCTTGCCCAAAGTCACAGAGATAGTAAGGAAGAGTTTTAGGATCCCAAGTCCGGGTCAACCTGAATTATCCCCTCACTCTGAGGTGCTCCGCTGACTGCTTTAAGGAGATCTGGCTCTGGCAAGGACTGCGTGGCCTGAGCAGGAGGTGACGCAGGGACGCTCACCACGTTCTTATAGAAGAAGTACACCACCATCCTGGCCAGGCGTGAGTAACACCAGTGGCCATGCACAAGCAGCAGCTTCTTGAGGTGTTTGAAGCGGGAGATGGCAAAATCGCTGGACATGACGGCCTGTGAAGGAAAACAGAGGCGTCGGTTTGTATACAAAGCTACCAGTGCCACGGAGGGTGATGCTTTGTTCTCCCTCCGAGGCAACAGAGTCTGAAAGTCCCCCTGAATTCTGACACCCCACCCACTCTTCTGGGAAATCTAAACCTCACTAGAATCCAAGAAGGGCACACTAGGATGGGCCAGTGGTCTAGTCTGGCCCATGATCTCCATCCACTTTCCCAAAAAGCATTTATTTGGGCCATGTATGTGGCAGGCTCTATTTTAGGAATGTGATAGTGAGCAAGAGAGTAGGAGCTCCTATTCCAACAGTTCTCCAACCTTTGTGCACCCTTTGTCATCTCCTGGGGCAGCCCATTAGAGCCATTCGCAGAGGGAGCTGGGGGCTGGATAGTTCTTCCTTTAAAGGGAGTTGAAATGTATCTTCTGCTCTCAAGAAGAGTCATAATGAGATATAGTCTAGAGCACTCTTAAGAATATGAAGTTTGGACATTCCTGATTATAAATCCTGGTGTGAATCTTGGTTAGGTTACTTCAACTCCCTGAGCCTCCATTCCCTCATCTGAAAAGGACACAACAACAATCCCTAATTGTGGTATTAAGAGCCAATTAGAGCCAATGAGATAATAAATGTCAGGTACCTAACAGGGCTGGCATAGGGTAGAAACCTAAAGGGTAACACGGAACTATTTTGTGGCTCCTTATTTGATGTTCTTTCATGCTTACCAACAAATTTAGGCAATGCCAAATGTCTGCACTGTTGAGGGGAATATAATTTATAATGCTTTTAAACCACAAAGTGGGATCTGTTTTAGATGCCATCTGTTTTAGAACAGCAACTCAAGTTAGTATGCTTGTTCCAAGCTGCATTTTGAGTAAATTAGCAGCACTGTGAAAGTGTACTAAGCACCTGATGGGTTAGTCTGGCCATCAAGACTAAAGTGGCAATAGAAAAATGTCTTTAAATATCCTTCTCTCTGTTATGGAGGACGCTGCTACTTTGGATGTGGGTGGAGGTTATACAGAGGACATGTGGAGTCAAGGAAGGCTTATATTTAGGGTATATTCAGCTTTAGCATGTAGGTATCATTGGTCATCTATGAAAACCAAACATTCTTTGCTCTCCCTCTGATTTTTAAAGTCTGGGCAATAGGAGTGTACTGTAGGAAGTATGTTGAGGCATGAAAGACCTATGACTTTAAGTTGATAATTCTCCATCACTGTGGGTTATTCCTTAAATCTCCAGTAAGGAGATTAAAGGAGAGTAGGGGAGAAACAAAGATAAAGGCCAGTAGGGACAAAAGAATAGTTGACGAGCATAGTACCTGCATGCCTTCCTGTCCAGATATCCCAATTCCAATATCAGCAGCTTGAATCATGCTTACGTCATTTGCTCCATCACCTGAAAGAGAAAGAGGTCATGAGGTGTCTTTATCCCCGCCCCGGCTGCTCAGTGACAATGAGATGGCTGTGAAATGTTCCTATTTGAAAACAGCTGAGCTTTTTAAATATTTCTCTGAAGAGTCCATAGAAAACCATGAAGCCCTACTTTTTCTTTATTGTTGAACAAGTATTTATTGTAAGGGTCTTTTCTCTGGGCACAATATTATGTATCAGAGATACAATGGTGAGAAAGAGAGCCACGGGCAGTGAGTCCTTCACAGTTTAAAAAAGACCTGTGCAAATGTTATGATGGGCTTTACCGATGAGCAACCTGAGCAATTTAGAGATTTAGCCAGGGTAATCCAGCTAGAGAAGGGATAGAGAAGAGTTAGAACTCAGACCTTTCTGAGTCCAGGACCAATATGCTTCTGTAACTCACTCTGACTTGAATACTGACCATGTCAAAACAAGAAGCATGTTTAGCAGCCAGGTCATCAGAGATTATGAATGTTGTCCAAGGGATTCAGTTTTCTTTCTAAATACTGGAAATGAGATTAACTTTCTACTGTGGTTGTTGTTGAGGTACATTTACTGACATTGCACTACCATTCAATGAGCTGAGCTGTTTCAGGAAACAGAGGTAAACCATGGCCATACATATACATAGGCATATATGCACACACCGGTGTGAACTTCCTTTGTACCAGGACTATCAAATAGATCTGGTATGGGTAAAATATGCTAGATCTACAATGGCCAGCACAGAAACTGCTAGCCAAATATGGCTATCGAACTGTAGTTGGTAAGATTCTGTTTACTTTAAATTAAATTTGAGTAATCCTGTGTAGTTCTACACATTACTCTGTAGTGAGGCTTTCTCTGGAAGCCTGACTCTTCCAAGCGCTTAACATTTCTTTTTCTTCAGGATGACACATCACTGAAAACTTTACTTTTCCTGTCAAAGAGGGGTATTGAATATTAGGAAAGATGATTTTAGAAAAGATAGCATTGAGTTTTATGTGTTTTTAACGTGGGACTTCTCATAGCTTTATCTTGTAAAACAGAGTTCAGCAAATTAAACTCAAAAGGTCAAATAACAAATATTTTAGGTTGTGTGAGCTGAGAAGAAAAATCAAACAATTGTTCTGGTTGAAACGCAAATAGTCTTTTATAAAATTTACATTAAAATCTAAAAACCAAATGATCAAAGTAATGTTATGTGCTTGTATGGATTTGCCAAAATAAAACCTATTAATTAATATGTATAGCCAATTAAAGAAAAATGAAAAGGAAAACAGAATGTGAAGACAAACCAAAAAAACCCATTTTTAGCATCCATACAAAAGCCTGCAGTGGGCTGGGTTTGCCAATCCGTTTTGTACACTACACGGCCTATATTCTCCTGGTGCCAGTTCTTTTTTTCCAGTAGCTTCTCAGAATAAGCTGCAATTAAGTTTATATTTTTCAAATAGAGCGCATAGAATTGGAAGAAAGTGACAATGATTTGCTAATTATCTGATAACAGAATATAAAAATTTTTGTCACTGTATCTCATAAATAGGTACAATTATGTCAATTAAAACATAAAACCAGAAAAGTTGTCATTATAGGTAAACTTTGTTTTTGCAATGATTTTCTTTTCTTGATAGCATAGCAGTGCATAATTTTAACCTGCCCTGTGGCAGAATAAATCCAACTTTCAACCTCTTCTGTTGACACAACCAGGAGAAGCGGAGATGTGGAGCCCTGCCATTTCTCACCCTGCTGCGTTTGTTTCTGTTGCTATGGGAGTGAAGCTAGTGACTGACCTCTCAGAATCGGTCCTAGGCTATGTTGCCTTATGTGTGTCTGAATTATTGCAGAGGACAATTCAGAGTATAAAAGCAGAATGCAGGTGCTAAAGATCTGCTTTCTGCATTGTTCCTGTTCCCCCACTTTTAAAATTCTAAATTGCTTTTACTTGATTAGGTATGCAAGGGGGTGGGAAGGGAGAGCACAATATCTACTAGATCTCATTTGAAACATTCGAAATCTCTTTCCATGCCTGTGTAGAAAGAAGAGAGGCTACATAAACACACCATCTGCATAAATGTCACTAAGTGGAAGCAAAAGTGTGGCCCCCACTTATCTGAGGAGGTGCATTCCAGGATCTTCAGTGTAAGTCTGAAACTGTGGTTTTTCCTATACCTATATACATGTGTGTGGTAGGGTTTATAAATTGGGCACAATGGGTTGAATGCTAGTAACTAATAATAAAACAAAATATTATAGTAAATTATAGAATGCTATCATAAAATTACTTAAAATTTACAAAGTATTTCTAGAATTTTCCATTTACTATTTTTGGACCTCAGTTGGCTATAAGTAACCGAAACTGTGAAAAGTGAAACAAGGATAAGGGGGAACTGCTCTACTTTCTCTATGCTTAGTATGTGCTGGCATATGACCAAACAGTGAATAAAACAGAGACTGGGTTTTTCAGCTCCTAGAGCACATGGTTTATCGAGGTGGCCCCCACAGAAGGCTTGCTGGTGCTTGGACCTATGGGTAGTGGTTGCTAGGGGGAACCCCACAGGAAAAGAAAGTTAGCTGCAACTGGAGAAATGGTTGTTTTACAGAGGAAATCGCTTATACAAAGAGCTACAAGTGAGAGAGAACAGGGCCTATGCAGAATGGAGAGCAGTTTCATTTGGTTGGAACACGGAGGGTCAAATGACAGGGAGAGGAAAGTGCCAGTGATAAGACATGTGGCCAGAGGGCATGAAGGTTGTTGTATATCACATTTGATTGTTTCTGGAAGGCTTTAAGTGAGTAGTTTTTATTTCTGTGCTTCAACATCATTAAAATTTACTCCTTTCTAAGCAATTAATCAATCTACCAACCAACCAACCATCCAACCAACCAACCAACCAACCAATCAGCCAGCACTTACTGGGGATGTGCTTGGTGCTGGGCTTATATTTAGGAATAAACATACAAAATAAAAGTGAACCAATCCAAACTAAAACAATTTCATTATCAACCAGCTACACTCAGGAGGATATTAAATTCATAAGTACCTGAGGTACTGCTGTACTCAGTATAAAGTACTGTAAAAGTATAAAGTAGTGCAGGGAAGTGATCTGAGTCTCAGAATTGAGATAGCTGAGTGTATATTTTCAGCAGTGACATTTCCTGAGCTACCAGCATGTTCTGAATTCAGTGCCCTTGCCTTGACCTCTAAGTCCTGAATTTTCTTTAGCTGACTTGCTAGTTCCAAGACCTTTGATTTACTCTCTGTGGTTAACCTCTGCTTCATCTCCTAGTTGCTGCATCTTGTTATTTTGAACTTTCTAAGACTACGAAAGTCTTGATTTTGATAACAGACCTCCCACCTGTGATCCAAGACTTCTGTCAGACCATCCCTGCCAAGTTGCCACCCATATCTCAGCATGGTGGGTACCTATGGAAAGGGTCATCACGCTCAACTTGTCTCGCACCAGCTTGACAATCATACTCTTCTGGAGTGGGGTAGAGCGGCAACAGAGGACAGACCGGCAGTACTGAGTCAACTCCAGGAACTTCTTCTCTAGCTTTCCCTGGAAAATGACATTCAACGTCTTCCCATCTATAACCAATCCAGCATCTGGGACTGCAGCTCCTGAGGTGGTGGATGGTGTTTCGGAAGGTAGGCGGAACCCAAAGAGCTTGCAGTCTGGCTTCTGTAGTTGGTGGAGTTGCTTTACTTCTTCCAATGCACAGTTGAGGATGGATTCACAGGTTTCCTGTACAGGGTCAAACAATATGGTTTAGGAGACAACCTTGGAAATATGTGTTAAAAGCCACACTTGATTATTTAGGAAGAGAGTTATAAAACTAGTACCATAGAGATTGCTCAGGAATTGCTCTCCAGTTTCTCCCAGTATTTGAAACAGCATCAAAACAATATTAATTTTGAACCAATCAGTAACCATAATAGGAGACACTGCTTGGAAATATAGGTGGAAATAGCTCAGTAAGATAGGGGCTGATACATGGTTGGTATAAGATAATAAACAATGCTAAGATGATGGTAAGTAATGACAATATTTCCTGCTGGTAAAGTGCCTTTGTGTTTCTCACAGGTCATTTCAGTTCCCTGATGCTCCTTAGAATATTCCTGTGGATATTACCCATCTTAATTTAGAGATGAGAAAATTGAAACAATGAGCTCTTCAATAACTCACCCAAGCTATTTAAATGTATCAGGGGAGTCAGAATCATTACTACTTGAATTGGAAACTTTTGAATTACAAAGATACATTTATCCTGGGTTTATCCATTGCTCTTATCCATAGAGGGTCCTTAGAACTGTAGTATAAATAGATGATATTGATTTGAACTGACCATGGATGTGAAAGTCTTATTCATTGAAAAAATCTTGTTAATGATGTTTTCCTGTTGTTTACTTTGAAACACATGAGTACATTATTTCTATCGGTTCTTTCCCATTACTTCTGATGGTTCTAATCATATTCTTAATATCTCTTTAATTTCTGTGAACTTCACTTTTGAATAAAGATTGAGGGAGATTTGGAAGCAACAGTATTAGGAATCTTAATAGCATTACCTTGAGACCATAATGCTGTGAAATAAATCAGACACAGAAGGTTAAATAAGACATGTTTTTTTTTACTTGAGATGCTCAAAGTATAAATAAAGAGAAAAAGAAAAGGTGATAGGAAACATGGAGACCTTTTGAAGATGGGAAGGGGATTTAGTGATTGTGGGGAGAAGGAAGCAGAAGTAAAAAGGATTAAAATGTAATATGTATACATTTCAACTCCCTGTGATAAATGTATTCATTAAAAATGTACTAATAAAAAAGAATAAAATTCAGAAAAATATCTTTTTACAGTCTTCATTTTACAGTGTTCTTTTATCCTTGGCAAGGGATGATAGCCTTTGTTTGTTGAACTCTTAAAGTTTATTCTAAAAGTATTGTTCAAATGAGTCAATTTAAATGAAATTATTAAATGATAGTAGAGGTCTTGTGGATTTTGGCAAAATTCGTGCAGGTGGTTTCCAAGTGGCAAGTTTGGAGAACACTGATCTAGAACATCTGAAATAATTTCTTCTGGAGCAAACAGTCCTAGTTCATTATTCTTGAGCCTTCCTTGAGGAGATGCTACATTGGGTTTTGTAGGCCATAGGTTATGTAGAAAACCTGGGCACGGACAATAGGAGGGGGTTTGAGAAGTGAGTGATTATATCAGAGGCTCTTGTATGGGAAAGAGAACAATACAATTTTTTGCAGGAGGTTGGAGTGGGTAAAATTTATATAAATTTCTCCACTACATGATTGTAGCAAGTCATTGAAGAAGTTGGATTCAAAGTCAAATCTCTGAATTTACTTGTTCCAATTTTTCTAAGTGTTAATTACAATAGTTACTATTTACTGAGCATTTGTTGCATTTTGGTTCCTGGCAGCAGGCACTCTTAAGAAGACTCCCAGTGATGTCCCCTTACTGGTAGTCATGTCCTTGTGTACTCTTCCACTCAGTGTGTGCTAGACTTAGTGATTCCTGTCTAATGAAAAACTTCCTTTAAATGATGACAGAGCCAACAAACTACAGGTAGCCAGATAAGGTGCTCCTGGAGTTCTAACTCACAGGATCATAAATGTCTGTTTCAGTTGCTGAGTTTTGGGGTAATTTGTTTTGAAACAATAGATAACTAACACAGGTATTGGCTAAGTAAGTACTTTTTTCCTTCCATCTTGTTTAATCCTTTCAGTATCCTGTGAGGTAAATATTTTTAAGCTCTACAGATGAGGAGAATGAAGTTCAAGAAATACAGTTTTGGGACAATATTAAACTCCAGTATATATTAATAACAGTAGTTGTTAGTCTGTTTTAAAACTCCTTCACATGTCAATATTTCCAGTGATGAGTTAGTAATTCCTTCATTTTATGGACAAGAACTTGTTCTATAACTTGCTTATGCTTACTGCTTTACATACACAGGAAAGAAACAGTAGCCTTAAATCAATTTTTAGTGAATTAGGCAAATTAATACCCCTGGAGAAAATATCCTCTGAATATTTAATTACACTAAACTGGGGTTTAAATAAATCTAAGAATGCATTGCCACAGTTTCCAGCTTAACATACTTATATATCTTCCATTTGTTCCTAGGCAAGGGAATAAGAAAGACTAATCTTATAGGTTTAGGGGGCTCAGGGGTGGAGGCAGGGATAAGAATCCAGGCATCATCTTGGAGGGTCCTGAACAGCTTTAAAAGATCAACAGTGAGTGAATTAGAGATTCAGTGACTAAACTGACATGACTTGGAGTGTTATCCACTGTTCTTTGGGGACCTTAGCTAGTTAATCAACAGACACCTTTCGCTTCCTACAGGAATGTGTTGTGTTGTGACAGGATCCACAGACACTCCCTCCAGCCCACCCAGGATGCCAGCCCCATCGGTTTACAGTTTGCTGAAGTTCTTTTTTCAGAAGCAGCTGGAGGAAAAGGATCATTGCAAGGATCAGAGCAAGTTTCCATCATGAGCAGGGCAGACCAGTCTTAACGCTATCACAGACGTCAAGCTCTCAAGCAAGCTACAAATTATTATTTTTCCCAAGCCCAGAATTAAAGCTAAAGTTTTCCCTGAGATTATTTTCATTTCAAAAACTCACTGGAGCTTAATCTAATTATAACATAATCTGCACCTGATAGGAAAGTAAATGACTTTTCCAATTCATGGAATGGGCCTTGGGCAATTTTAATAATGTACACTTTAAAATAGATGTGTGTATGGTTTCTTTGTGGAATAAAAACTAAATATAAACCTCCTCTAATTTCTATTCTGGGTCTTGGTTAGCCTCAGGCAGAACTGAAGAAGAGAGAGATTTCATTGTCCTCTCTGGGTCCTTTTCTGGCTGTTTTCATTTCCCCGCCATTCTCCCTCTCCTCCATCCTTCTCCTTACAAAATGGCCTAGGTCTCTGGCTACCCACTACCCACCACATCTAAAGTATAGTGCTTTTCTTGACAAGGTCCTCCTTTCAATCCAATCCCTGCCTCCTTCTGTAGGACATATACCTCTCAATGCCTACCTCCTCTCAGTGAGGAGGGTGGTGGAAACTTACTTTCTGTAAATTGCATTGTGAAAATAGATTTCACTTCCTAGATACAGAATTTCAAGGTAGCTTGGAGTACCTATCTTCAGATTCATCATGGCACTCTCCTGAATCTTACTCCTGGACACCCATAACCTATTCTGGTTGAAAGTTGCTGTTTTAGGATGTTTGCTTCTTTTCTCCTCTCTCCCATCCTCTCAGAACATACTGCCTTCTGTACTGTGCCCTTAGAGGTCTACTCCATGGCACACACCAGTGTGACACACAAATTGGTGCAGAAATTTTAAGCTCAGAATAATTTCAATTTGGTTGGAATTTTTCCAATGGATGAGCTAATCTTAAGCAATAAGAGAGCAACAAGTGAGGCACCGCAAGGACACAGTGTGGAGAAGGTAAGCAGCACTAGCTCAGCGGGACAGCAGTGTTCTAGAATTAGTCTGATCTCTTAGGACTAGCAGGGTCAGCCTAGGCAAGTGCTTACGCCCCAGTTGGTCTTCAGTTTTCTCATCTGTAAAATGGGAGGATTGGACTAAGGGTGGAATCTAGTGTAGGGGATGGCAACTCAGCATATTATTTTAAGACAGAATCATTCTAGCCTTAATACAAACCTCAAAACGTGTCTTGAGAAACATCTTGGAGGGTTGTAGAGTTAACTTTGCAGTCCTGACTTAGCCCTGGAATGCTTCTCCAAAGACAAAGAACACCCGGGCCCAGATAACCACCTATGACCCTGCCTGGGTTGTTTGATCCCTTCCCTGGCCCTAGATAAACATTGTAACCATAAAGGAAATGTATGGGCATCTAAGGGGGACATATAGAACTGAATACAGAAAGTATATATCATTGTGGTTGAGCTCATGACCATAGCCTGACTCGGTCACGTGGCACAACGAAAACAACGTGTGGCCAGGGCTACAGCATTCCAATCTGTTACCATGGAAACAAAAATCTATATAAGGTGGGACAAAGAGTGGCCCACTCTCCCACTTCCCTGATTGGCAAGGTGGAAGGAAGGGTGGCTAGCCTCAAATCAAACTCTGTTTTGTTCTCCATAGAGTTGGTCCCTTGTGGTCTCTTGTGGAATACAGCCCAATTTACACCAGGGGATTTCTGCCGTAACACTAGAAGAGGTAAAACTTTCTAATAAGTAATATTAGAAGTAATATAAAAAGAGACTAGTCAATCAAATGTGGGGATGAGGTGGAGGATACTGGGTTGGGTAACTTCCAGGGTCTCCTGAACTCTAGGATCCAGTGATATTTTAGTGGGAGGGATACTTGTGGTGTTGCCTCAGCCCCACACATGACTCTATCTCTTGTTGGCAAAGAGGTGGCTCTGTACTTGAACATGTGGTTCCCCACTTTGGCCTCACCTGACTCTCTGTATTAATGGAGTAAACGGTGTCCATTTGACTTAAGAGTCTGCAGGAATAGGCGATATTGACTGCTGTCTCCTGCTTATCTCCTGTCAAGACCCAGAGCTGGATCCCAGCCTCTCGTAGAGCAGCAATGGTATCTGGAACGCCTTCCTGTAGCCGATCTTCGATCCCAGTGGCTCCTGGAGTAATGAAAGATAACAGAGCTCACGTTTATGGTAAAAGAGTAGCTGCTGAATTCCACCGAAGTCCTGTGAAGCCAGGCAGTATCTATTAAATACCTCCCATGCGGTAGGTTGTGGTAGGAAACTAGGATACAACCGTGAACTAGGGAGAGCTGGTCTCTACCCTCTCAGAATACCAAGAGCATTGAATAAGAATAAGAATTGTACCTTCTCTCCAAGAAAGTTATTTCTAGGAAGTTGTTTTTCACAGGTTATAACTGAGGCTTTAAGCTTCTCAGAGGCCTCACCCAAGGTCCCTGAACAAGGACGCACAACTGAGTTACAAGATGAGAAAGGGCCATGTGCTGTGTGAGTGTGTAGCATGGAACTTGAACTTTACCTAGGTCTGGGAGGGTCTTGCAGAGAAAATGCCACATAAGCCTAGGTCAGGAGGAGCTACCAGAGGGGAGGGAGGAAGATCCCAATACAAAGATCGGCATAGCCACCAAACTGAAGGCAGAGTGGTGTAGGTGACAAGGCCAGGGAGGGAGAGGAGGACTGTTGGGGGGTGCAGAGCCTTGCTGGAGCCTAGAGGGATTCACAGTTTATTTGGTAGCAAAGAAAGCTATGAAAAGGTGCTACGTTGGAGAGGGAACTGAACAGCTTTGTGTTTGAGGATCATTCTGAAAAAAACACACTAGAGATGGCAGGAAGCAGGCTGAGTCTCAGCGCTAACGCTACTTGGGAAGCTGAGCAAGAATGCCGAGGCGAGCTGACCTGGGCCTGGACTGGCATGGTGGCAACAAGAAGAGAAATGGAGATGCAGAGCTCTGTGCTCTGCAACTGATTGCAGAAGAATTAATAGGGATTCATATTTTTGATACTCTTCTTGAAGGGAATTAAACATGCAGATGCCATCGATTTTGAATGATCTGAAGCTTTACATCAACTCTGATGAATATATACCCAAACATTGAATAGTTGCTAAGTGACTAAACAAAAATAAATCTGCATTTAAAATGAGATTCATTTCAGGCCACAGACTAATGGCTGCCCATTTCACTGTGGGCAGGAGCAAGGCATTTTGTTTCTTTTAATAATCCGGAGTGATAATAGGTTGGCAAAGCAGTTACATTGGATGCATATTGAAAAGATCATTTCTTATTTTGAAACTCAGTGTGAAAGCAATGAAGCTTTCTGGGTGGCAAGAGAAATCTTTTCCTGAGCCACCTTCCCAAGTCACCTTCAGGAGAAAAATAGAACCTCTCCATCCCCAGATGTGCTTGGTTTGCATTTTAAGCCCAAATGTCAGGTAAACAATCCCAGGAAAAGTGATGGATCACACCTCATCTTTCCCTTCCAGGGTTAGCCTGGGAGGTAAGATTCAGAAGCCGATTTATATTATAGTGAAGGAGAGAGGAGGAAAAACACATTTGTTTGTGCAAAAGAGAAAATGAAACAGGAAGGCTGTGATCGCCTTTCCCAGCCCGGGGAAGCTGGCAGGTTATAACAAGTGAGTTCTGTTTCAGCACAGCCAGCTGATATACTTGTCACCAACCAGGACTGGAACCCCATGTCAAACCAAAGAAGCCTCCCAAGGTGAGAAGGGGGCAGGCACCCTCACGGGAGGCCTTGTGTAGGGGGCAGAGTTGTCTGGCCTAGCTGCCCTGTGGCTATTGTTAAAATGATTCGTATGTCCAGCTTTAAAGGGGGCCTCATACAACAGCAAGCAAAGGTCTCTGTAGCCAAGATGCAGGAAACGAAAGCTGAATGGGGAGGTAAGGAGCAAATTTTCCTCCTTTCCCTGCCAGCTGTCCTTCTAAATCTTGTTGCTACCTCTTATATGTTCAGGCATCATGTCTTACAGTGGCCTTGGGTCTTTTTCCTTGGACTTCTGCCTAGCTGGCCAGCCAAGGGGTATGATTCACCCAAAAGAGAAGTTAAGGCTCAGAGGGGTGCAGTAACATGCTGCCGGGCACATAGTAAGGTCATGGCAGGGCTCTCACCTCACCCTCATCCCATGGTCAGTGCTGCTCCCCAAGAGGAAAAGAAGCTTTCCTTGTGTGGTCGGTGCATGTTACTGGGCGCTGCCTTACTAAGACTCTGTTCTGTTCCCCAGGTGTGAGATTAGTGCTGATAAACCAAGCCTCCTCTTTTCTCCTTCGCAATACTTTTCCTTCGACAGAAACACAACCTGGCTCTTAATCACCTTCGGTGCTTCTACTCCTTTCCCCGCATGTCACGCTACCTTCTGTGTAGCAGTGATTTCTGTGACGATGCCCTTCTCCTCTCCGGACACTTAGCGTATGATTTACACGGCCCTTCATGATCTGGGTTGCACTGACCTCTCGCTTCCTAGCAGCTGTGCCCTACAGCCTGTGGTCCGGTCACAGCATACCTCTTGTTTCCATCTGGCCCAGAATCTCACTTCTGGGCCTTCATTTGGGCTTTTCTTTGCCTGGAACATGCTCCCTTTCCCTTCTCCTTCTCCTTTCAGCTAATGGCCTTCTAGGCCCTTGGCTCTAGGGCCACACTGACACCTCCTGCTCTATGCTTTTCTTCCATCTGATAAAGCTTCCCGCTCAGCTCCCATCACTTGCTTAGTCATCCAGCGTCCTGCACAGACTTGGAGCTCTGGGAGAGCAGACTCTTGTCCCCATTGTACTCCCAAAGGCTAGCATGGAGCTATGCATGTAAATATTTGAACGAGCAGAGTAATGTGCAGTTGGAGAGGAGCTCCTTCCAGCGGGGAATGCAGATGCCCCAGGGGGTCTTCAGGAAGCACGGGGTGAGTGTTCATATGGCCTCTCTATGCCAAATTCCTAAACGGGGACCAAGGGGAGGCTGCTAATCGAGATAAATTTGTAGCAGTGTCAGACGAGGGCCAAGAACTTCCTTTGTAACTTGTAGCACTGTTTATCCTATAAGGATGACTTATTTTTAGCTACCGAGTAAGGTGAGTTGGTTCTCCAGATGCTGTGCTGTCTCCATCAGAAGGTCATCTCGGTTGTCGAGTGAAGCCTCTGCCTGGTGCCGGAAATTGGCCCATCTCCGAAAGTCCTCTTCACTTATGACCTGCAGAACAGGAAGAGGCTCATTAATAACTTGGGTAGGTTATAAGCAGAATCCCTCTTCCTTCCTCATCAGCTGGGTCTCAGGGGCCTGTCTGAATCTCACTACATGACTTGATGGGGATTTGAATGCAGACGTCAGTGAAATCTTGATCTTTCTGTTGTACCGTCACTAAACATCTGTTGGATCCCTATTATGCTTAAGGCACTGGAGATGATTGAAATAGACAATCTCAGGATCCTTGGGTGGAAGGGGACAGATATTAGGCAAGTAAGTAAACAAATTGATCACTTTAAGGAGTCATATGCAGGCAATAAAAAGGATGATATGATGGAGTAGGACGGGTAGAGAGTCGTTGGAGAAGGAGGCTGCTTTCTTTTCAATGTTCAGTTCTCTTCAACGGGTGGTGAGCAAACTAAACTCCAATGGTGAGAAAGGGTCAGTCATGAGGAAGAGCAAGTTCAAAGGCTGTGAAACAGCAATGCACTTGGTTTTCTTTTTGTTACTTGAATACATCAGTTGGCAGAAGCATTGTAAGAAGGTGGGGTGGGGCTGGAAAGGAAAGCAGCAGCCATATTTTACACAGCCTGCGGACCACTCCACCAGGCACGTATCATACCAATGGAGGTGCCATCCCCCACCCCGTCTTGTGGCACTTTGAGATCCTTCTGTTAGCTTTATGTACATTCTATCTTTTTTCCAAGGACCAACTATTCCTTGACTCCCTCTGTATGACACTAGAGGGCAAACCTGGGGGACACATGGACCTTTACTTTGAAGGAATGTATAGTCTACCGGGTGTGGGAAGAGGGAGAGAAAATATACATAAAGACTAATGGAAACTAGAATGTACTAAGGGTACTCTAATTCAAAGTATATTAGTAAGCACTTGTTGCTGTCCCAGGTACTGTACATATATTACCTTGGTTATTCTTTATGAGGCAAGGACCATTAGCACCATTTTACAGGATAAAAAAAAACAAACAAAAGAAACAAACCCCAAACAAACAAACAAAAAACCCTCAGGGAGGCAAAGGAACATGCTTAAGGCCATGCATCTAAAAGTAGCAAGAGACTGGGAGTTTTGCACAGGTGGGTCTGGCTTTATTGTGAGCGCTCTCAATCGATATTCTGCACTAAGAAAAATAAAAGAGATCAAGATCCATAGGGATTTATGGAGAAGAAATCACTCATAGCCATCCAGAAATGTATGCCCATCACAGCACACCTACTAGATGTCACGTTTCTCATCAGGTGCCCCTGCCTTGCAATTCACAGCCCATTTCCTATCTCTTTCACAGGTGGCGCAAAGTTAAATATCTGAAGAGCACGAGGTGGGTAATTTACATGACTCGCTGGGCCAAGGGAGTGGTAGGCACTTGTGACCAGAAGAACATACCTGGGCTTACCCTGTGTCCCTCATGAAAGAAATCACCTACTACGTGCTTGTAGGTAATTGCTGCCACTCCACGGGGAGCAAATTTTCTAGATTCTCTAGATTTTGTAGAGAAACTAGAAATCTAGATTTTTTGTGGTACTGGGAATCAAACTCACAACCTCGTGCTTGCCAGGCAGGTGCTGTGCCACTGAACTATATCTCCAGCAAATCTAGATTTTTAAATGACCGCACAAAGCCCCCCCCCCCCAAATTACAATCCAAGCAAAGAATACACATTTTAAAAGGCTGCTTTGAAGACACAGGGACAGTATTGAAAATTATGAGTTACAGGCTGTCCATTAGGCATACAATGAAAAGTGCAGAATGACAAAGCCATAGCCCTATGAGATCTTACGGTTCAGATATCTGCTCCAGAAAACTTGTCAAAGTCATGGATTTTTGTGGTGAGTCAGAATGGCTAATCTTAAAGTCCTAAAACAACCAACACTGAGGATCTTATATAAAGAAAAAGAAAGGGCCTACTGCAGGTGAGGCCATTCAGCTACCTAAAGATATTCAAAGCCTGCTTGGAGGAAATTGCCCTCACCTTCTTGGCGATACACAGCGTGCGCAGACCGTCTCTTGCATACAAGTCTAGATGTTTTTGGGTTCGGGCTTGGATTTTCTTCATCTTCTTTTGCAGGTCAGCGTCAGTCACTGTCAAATAGCCATTGTTTCCCATGAGGCCATGTACACAAATGCCTAAGAATCTCTATTCCCCAGTAGCCTGGATCTTCCCATTAGAAGAGGAATGCTCTAGAGGAGGGATTCCCTTACAGCCATTCCTGGAAACAGGGAAGAGTGCTCCTGGCTGTCAGGTTGCCCTGGAAGATGACTAGTTCCAGAAGTCCTTTAATTCTCTTAAGATCTCATCAAAAAAGCTAGCTGGAATAAGTGCTGCTTAAGAAAGGCAGGGGTCTAAGGTATGGTTCTTGAACATGTGTTTTTATGATAATCACCTGGGAATGGAAATAACAGGGATTTGCAGGTCCCATTTGAATCCCTGAGGAATCAGAGGACCAGATATCCCAATTTTTATCATTACCTCCACTGCTGCTGCTTAGCCCTGGATGTCCGCTGACATGGAGGCTGTTCTCTTAGACTCTCCATCATTCTATCATTTTCTTTAGTTCTTGCATCAAGCTAGGACCCAAGACAGCTACAAATGTGGATCTCATTAGCTAAGTTCTTTGCCAACTTGGGTTTGCTGACTTAGGCTTTCTTTCTACACAAGAGATGGTCTTAGAGAAAAAAATATATTTTTTTATTTCTTGTAACTCTACTGTGGAAAGTATGTCAGTGTGCTACTTTAAGTCCTTTTGGTTAAGTTTGCATAATATATTTCTTTCAGAATTAGTTTTGTTTTCTTGCAATTCCAGTACTTTTATCTCTCAGGGAAGAAGAGATTTGTAAGCCTGGGTGCAGTCAGTCCTCCCGTTATCAACCTGTCACAGACATCACTTGTCAAGTGCAGCATCTGTGAAGCTGAGCTTGGAAAAGTTCTCAGAATCCTTTACCAGTGCTGTACTGAGACATTTATAGGCCCTAATAGTAAACAGAATTTGTATATCTCATACATCTCTGCATACAATGCAAAATTAAAAATGTAATCCTCAACAGTGAGATGAGTACAAGCAAATGCAACAAATTAATTTTTCTCTCATGTACTACTGTAAGGCTGTTTTGAGACAATGCAAAAACTCTTTTCAAATGTTACCATCTTTCAGGTACCTTAAACATTGTCTACTTTCATATTTTCTAAATGCTTTTGTTTTCTGCTTGTGAGCCTTTGAGTTTACATTTTTGCTTAGGCTGCCAGGAACCTCAGAGTCAAACTGAATGCTCACATACTGTGAGAATATTAAACTTGGGGTTATTTTTCCCATTTTTCAAAATTTTGCCTCTTGGTTGTTATGGTAACATTATGCATGTGTCTTGTATTAGAACCATCTCCAATCCATTTTGCAATCAAGTGAGGAAATAAAGAAACACCTCCAGGGCCACTTGGATGGCTGTGGCTCAGAGAGAGCGCTGTGACTCCCTTGACTCCAAAACACTGAATTCACTTGTCTGCCAGTGTCTGGGGATGAACAGAACTAATTAGCTCCCTTCCCATTCTGAACACTAATCAATCCCCATGAACCTCCTGGCTGTGCTCCACAGCTGATAATGCAGGAGGCACAGGGCTGCCCGGGCAATTCTAAAGCTTGGCTAGAATCTACTATCCTGGGAGAATCATAGCCCCATAACTGTCTTCTCCTTGTCAGCAACCAGGAAGCTGCTGTGCACTAATTCCTGCAGCTCCAAAATTGGACACTGATATGTAGGAACTTTGGAACATTTTTTTGGCTCAGTGCAAGTTTATGAAAATCCATCTGGGGGAGGCTGGGGAAAAGGATGATAAAGAGGGACACTTGAGGCTTCCCAGAGTGAACCAAGCCCGGTGTAGAATTCTGGCAGCAAAAATGGGCACTGAACTGGGACTCAGGATACCTACGCTGAGGATTTAACACTAAGTGAATTATACTATCTAAGGCACTGCTCTTTCTGGCTTGAGTTGGCTTCTGTCCCAAGTGAAGAGTTAGGGCTATGGTGTGTTCTGGTGCAAAAAATTGTGCGAGGATAGTGCACGTTTAAATGGGCTTGCAAAAGTGGAAACTGGGCTAAGTGAAGTTGATGAGGCTTCTCTAGTAGAAAACTATACAGCATCCTTAATATGCTAATGAGCACTGTGAGTCTTCAGGTCATAGTATCAAATGCAGCACACTGTAAAGATCTTGCTCTGAAAGCACCTTGTGGGCCTGTGTTCCAGTTGGGAGCTGCTGGACCAGGTGTCACCTTAACCTGAGCTCCCCATTACCCTTCCACACTGACCCTCCAACTATCCAACCCTTTTTCTGGGGCCCTGTGAGGATGGACTTACCACAGCCTGGGTCTTCCAGCAGGTCCATGATGACCGAGTCAGCCCCCTTGGTGTAGACGATGATCTCCCTGGTCAGTGGGTGCCTCACAACCACAGACATTCTCTTTCTGACAGAGTCAAAGCCCAGGGTGAAGAGGAGGTCAAAGGTGAGGCAGATGCCCTGGGGCAGGCGCACGGTAACCTGCTCTGGTGTCCGGGACACCAGCGTGAAACTGTAGGCGTGGGCAGCATGCACCAGGGCTGCCTCGTCAGGGCTCTCAGCCTCATAGCAGAGCTCAGGCTTGGCCAGGCCTAGGTCTGGGGCTTCCAATACTACCTCTTCCAAGGAAGCACCTGACCCAGACCCCAGGATGTCACCCTGGTCCCACGTGCTGCTCCTGTAGCCACCGTCGGTGGAGTAGTCGCCACTGCACACAGACGTGTCGTCCTTCTCATCTGAGTCCGTGGTGGGCCCATTGGCCCCCAAGCTCTCCCCCAGGTCTGTGTCAGATGGTGCAGTGGATGAGAAGGACTGGCTGAGGCTCATTAGCTTCAGCCTCTGGAAGAGCTGCTGAATCTTCTCCAGGGATGTCCCCAGAGCTTTGGTGGAGGGTGGGATGGTGACCTATAGTTGAAGGAGGAAAGCAGAATGTTTAAATTTTGGAGATAATTTTGCAGAACATGAAGGCAATTTTGCAGTAAGTGGAGCACCTAGGCGTTCTGTGATCAGGCTAAGTCTCCTTTGTGGGCCTCAACTACCCGTAAAATGAGGAAGTTAACTAAGATGTTTCCTTCCAGGCCTGACGTTCTAGGGATTGAAAGTGCTCATTTTCCTCTTTTTTTTTTTTTTTTTTTTTCTTTTTTTGAGCATTCCAGGCTGGTCATGATCAAAAGAAAGACCAGAAGGCAAAAGTCAGGTATTCACAGTTGGGGATCACATTCCCTGCATTCTGGTGGGAAATTTGGTTACTTTTATCTTTGTATGAGTATCTCATTTCATCCTCCCAGCAACCTCAAGGGATACTCTGATTTATGGACAAGGGGCTGGAGCACTAAGAGGGGAAATCAATGGCTGTTATCACGCAGAGAATAGCCAACAGAACTAGAGGTCAGATCTGGGTCTGCTCTACCCCAGAGATTAGACTCTTGAGCAATCCTCCAGCGTAAGCCCCCTCATTAATTTTGGAAAATTGAGAGTTGGAGGCTATCTTTTCTAAAATGATACTTCTTCCCTTTTCAAAAATAGATTTAATTTCTCAGAAAATGCTCCCTGTCTCCCTAATCTCCCTGAAGACTTCTAATTTCTTGGTGACATTTCTATGCCTGAAGTGACTTTCAGGTAGTTGCAAAACTGGGCATAGAAGCAGAGGTTGTGGTTGAGTGCCTTTGTGAACTATCTCTTCTTGTTTTATAGCCCTGTGTTGTACTACCTGATTATCCTCATCAGGGAGCTTGGCTGAGAGTTTGTGGCTACTTGAAGACAAATCTACCATTTGTAGACTTCAAAGTATAAATTTACATAAATGACCATCTACGTACATTATTTCTGTGGGATAACATCACATGTAATGTAAATTATTTTTTAATCCTTATATAAACACAGAGGCAAATATTACATGATATTATTAGGGACCGTTATGGAGTCACACAGATGATTCTGCTATGTGTTAACCATACTTCTTGTGCTCAGTTATTCAAATTTTCAGTCTCAATATTTCTTTACTTGCTAAATCCAAAGATATACTTACCAAGATTTTTTGTTTTTGTTTTTGTTTTTGTTTTTGTTTTTCTCTGGTACCAGGAACCGAACTCACGACCTTGCGCTTGCCAGGCAGGCGCTTTTGCCCCTGAGCTAAATCCCCAGCCCCCACTTACCAAGACTTTGGGTTGTGAGGGTTAAGTGATAATGCGGTGAAGTGTTGAGCTTGGGGACTGGAACATAGCCAAGTGCTTAGAAAACACTAGTATCTACCCTGCAGGCAGATAGATGAGGTTTGGAAATTGAACAGAGAGCTCTTAGGTAACTTTTCCATTTTATCTAAAAATGAGGGAATAGGCCTAAAAAGGATGATACTCATCCAAGGCCTCACACTGACAAAATGGTGACGCTGTGGCTAGGACTCAAGTGCCGTGTTACCCCTTCTTTCCTGCCTTCTCTCACTTTTACCGACAATCATCCCTAGTCCTTACCCTCTGTCTTGGCTCAGTAGTTGTGGACACCATCACAGAGTTGCAGATTGCTAGAGCAAGGAAAAAGTCAGCAGTGGAGGAGCTGGTGGACTGGGAAGGCTTGGCGGGTTTGGCATCTGACAAGGTCTCCAGCCATTGGGCGGCTTCTCGCACCTTGGTCAGTAGGTTTTTATCTGGAGTCACATCTTTCTCCTGCAAGGGAAAGAGACAAGTGAGCCTAAAGGGACTGGGAAGGGAGGCCTCCACCAGGAGACTTTTGGCTTTTCTGCAGGAAAGGATGCCACAGTCTTCACCACAATCTTGCATTCAGCAGATTCCCTTTCCCACAGGCCTGGAACACTAATGATTCTTATTTGATTCCTGCTTGTCAATCACGTTCACATATCTATCGGCTATCAGCCCTAGGAATTCTTCTCTCCAGTTTTCCTCACCATTTGGTCCCCCTTCCAGCTGCTTCTAGACTTGCTGAGACCCTCCAGGCCTCAATCTTGGATTTCTGTACTAGTCTCTAAGCCAGTGTTGCTGGCTCTTACGACTTTTCTTTCTCACTCTGCAAATGGATGACCTGTGTGGTTTTTCTATGACTCCATTATCCTCATGGTACCCTTGACTTCCAAAAATCTTCAGATTTCTATTGTTAAAATGATCAATTCATCTGGTATCTAGATGCTTTCACACATTGCATTTCCACTTTATACTCCCATTGCTTTTCAGTCAGGTCACTGTGGTAGTATGTTTGCTGCCTTCTGGATGTACACACACTATGCTCCTCATCATACTCGGGGAGGAAAATTCTCACCTATTCATTAAAATCCTACCTAGACATCAATAGCCATGAGAATTCCTACCTGACCTTTCATCCAGCTCCCAGTGAATTCTTTCTTCTGAACCATACTAGAAAGGTCTGGAACTCAGAGTGTTCACAGGCACCAGGCATGCAAGATCAGTGAGGGGAGTGGGTGGAGGCAAAGAGGAGGACATTGTGGGTGTTGGGAGCTCTAGATCTGGCCAGTCATGTATGTCTTGAGTGGTGCTGGCTTTCCCTAGTGAAATGCTCCAACACTGGGCCACTTTGCCAAATACTCTGAATTCTCAGGCTAAAACAGGGATGACAGGTGACCTATTTCTTTTCTTTCCTTTTTTTTACTCTGTGGGCTGGATCTGACTCACTGGTTCCAATTTTTGACATCTTTGTAGAAGTTGCCCCTTGAACCATCCTTTTAGAATTCACAGCATGTTGATCTCTTTCCTTTCCTTCCTCACTTCCTTCTTCTCCCTCCCTCATTCCCTGATCCCCTCCCCTACCAAGAACTGATGCCAGGATGGCTTCACTCCGGTACTAACCACAGGTGACCGGATGGGAGAGGTGGTGGTTATGACAGCAGTAATGTTCAGCTTTGTCTACCTCTGTGCACCATCTTTACATAACCCATTTTTACATTTATGTTTTTATGTTCATGCTTAATCTCTCTTAGAGATAAGGTAAGAACTTCAAAGACAGAGATCTAGATTTCCATGAGTTATAGTCTCTAGAGCTCTAACTGCAGCTTTATTTGAAGTAGATTTTCAACAAATACCTACTCTCACTGGAGAGATATAACAAATGCATTCACAAAGAAGCTTCCACATAAGACCACTCCTAACTGTACTCAGAGTTTACAGCTAAAGTCAAGTGTAGGCGAGTGTTAGTGGTTCAAAAGAATAGATTGAGGGAATCTTGATATGTTAAGTGGTTAGGGAAGGGAAAGACAGATCCAATGAATTACAACTAGGACTCAAGCTGACATCCTAAAATTGCAGTGGGTGAAGTACCCACTACCAAATAGGGTGATATCAGAAGTTTGATTCTATTCTCCTTGGAGATGCTGGGGCAGGTGAGAGTCATAGGGAGGAACCTAGACATATGTACTCTGTAGTAGCGGAACCCTTGTCAAGAACCACATCTAATTAGGCTGCATATCCAGAGTCTACACTCACACCTTAAACTTGTTCATTCTTCTTAAGACAATAAATCTCAGGAAAAGCCCTACTTACCAAAAGGGACTATGATAGTAAAACAGCATCAGATCTGCACTTCCTTCCTCTGTCCTATGAGCAGTGGCAAACTATCCATACCGTGTGGCATCATAATTTTCAGAAAATGTGGGAAGGGTGCATACACTGTCTTCTTTACTTTTGAGTGTAGTTTTTGTAATGGGAGCTCACATTTGTGAAACTCTTACTATCTTCCCAAGCAATATCATTCATGTGAATTCACTGGATTCTCACATTTCCAAGTTGAGATAAACTAATCCCAATTTAAGTAAAACACAGAGATATGGGATAATTTGACCAATGTCACCAAGTGAGTTGGTATAAAATCAGAATCAGAGCTCAGACCCACGGATTGCTATCGTAGGGTTTTTCTTCCTGTGGTCACAGGATAGTGTCTTATTAATGTTCCTGTGAAGAGTGCTTTAATCAGATTTCAGAGCCAGTGCCTCTGATGAGACTACCCAAGAAATACTGAGCACATTCCTTACAATCATGAGAAAGCTGATTCAGTGTATTTCATGTTCCAAGCATACCCTTTTCTTATCACATTTCTCAGTGTTTGTTATCACATTTCTCCTCCATTACCTCTGAAACTGAGGCCCAGGGAAGTTAAGTGTGTGACCCAAGGTGCCACAGTAAGTGGGAGGGGATCCCGTCAGATGGACTCCAGCACTGGGGAGGAATTTTAGAATTCCTGCTCTTAACTCTCATGCCAGGCCAGACCCTACATGAGAAGGGAGTGGCCTTTGAGGCTGGCTGATGGTCAGAGTCTTCAGTGGCCAAAATCTCAAACACGGTGGTTGGGCTTGCATATCCCATGACAAGGGATGAGCTCACAGTCTGTGACATTATAGAAGGGATATGGCTGTCTTCCTTTTTCAGAAAATAGCTAGTCTGTCTTTCTTTCTTTCTTTCTTTCTTTCTTTCTTTCTTTCTTTCTTTCTTTCTTTCTTTCATCCTTTATTCCTTCCTTCCTTCTTTTCTTCCTTCCCTCCTTCTTTTCTTCCTTCCTTCCTTCTTTTCTTCTTTCCTTCCTTCCTTCCTTCCTTCCTTCCTTCCTTCCTTCCTTCCTTCCTTCCTTCCTTCCTGCTTTTCTTCCTTTCCTTTTTTTCTTTCTTATAGCAGCAAGCATGGATGGGAAGCTGTTAAACCTTACCCACACACCCAGAGGCAGGGAATGAGCATGCAGGCCATCAAAGCTGAATCCTCAATTTTCCTGATGAAACTGAGGACCCGAGAGGTGTGAAGGAACTGCTTGAGATCACACACTAACCTGGGGTCAGAACCAGGATGCCTTTCCTCCTGACTCTCGGCTTTTTACAGCATGTACCACTGTGCCCCAAGTTCCATACTATCAGCAGGTATTTCCCAATGGTGACACAGTTAACAATCATTTACTCCGTATCATTGTACCCTCTCGTCCGTAAGGACCATGAGGGCAGGGACTGCCTCTGCTATGTTCCCAATGCCTTGCAGATTGCAGACACTGGAAGAGTCTGTTGACTGACTGTTCTAGCATACTCTGCTACCTCATCACTGACATCTCTTTGTTAATGCTATTCTTTAATATATTTCACCAAATCATATAGCAATGCATTTAAAAAAAGGCTTCTTTGTGAAGGGCCTGTTTCTTTCTGCACCAGCAGCAGGCCCAGCCTGCAGGTGCTGGGAACATGTGTCAGTTAACCTTCCCCCCGGTCACTGCAGCCCTGCCTCTGCAGGGCAGGGGTCTTCGTGGCTCCTTCTGCTCCCGCCCACTAGTTTTCTGTGTGGTCCTTTAACATTTAGGAACTCAGTGTTTGGAGCATTTAGATAAAAACGGTGCCTCTGCCCACCGCTAGCTCTTTGGCTGGTCTGTTTCTCTGAAGGAAAAGAGATATTAATTCACTGGGCCATCAGTTAGTAAATTAGAGCTTGTGGCTGCCGAGTACTCAACTGGTTGGATTTCTCTCAATAGTAGGACACTTACACCTCATACCAAACCTCCTTGAGGGCGGTGACATCGGAGTTCACGTGCAATGGTTTTATCATCTTATTACACTTACTGAGAAGGGAGAGGAAAGTCAGGCACTTCAATCAGTGCTTTTGTGTACATCGTCACATGATCCTAAAGCATGCATATAGTTACTGTCCTCCTCCCATTTTAATTATGAGGCAAATGAAGCACACTGAAGTTAAATATTTGTCTAAGGTCAAAAATCACAAATAATATGCTGGGACTTGAACTTAGTTCTGCCTGCTGCAATGCCGGAACCCTTAAAAACGAAGCCATCACTTCTTCCACTTTAATGTGCATACAAACCCCCTGGGGATCTTCATCAGAATGTAGCTTCTACCTCAGCAGATATGGGGTATGGCTTGAATGTCTGCATTTGTAGCAAGCTCACCGAACCCCACAGTTTGAGTAGCATGGGTCTGTGCCACCAGGCTGCCCTGTTGGTTTCACTTCTTTCCTGGCTGGGGTGTGTTCCCACACTGAGGGCTGGGAAAGTAGGCCACACTCCACTCTGTTCTGCTCCTCTCAGATTTAATAAGTCACCAACTGAGTACAGCGTCTTGTCGCAGTAGGAACCCACAGAGTCTGTGGTAGAAATAAACGATATTGCCACCTTAGTGGCACGGTTCCCCCTATGTCTCCATCTCCTTCTTCACCCCTCCCCCTGCCTTATATCTTTAATTACAAATACTCCTACAAACCCCTGTTCTGCACCTTGCTTGCACAGATTGTCTTCTTCTCCAACAACCTATGCTTTTGCTCTGTAGTTATGTTGTTTTACTTTCTTTTTTTTATTTTAAGGAGAAAATGCTTTTTCACTAGGCTGTAAGGTCCAGAAATCAGTAGCAGTGTCCTATTAGCCATTATATTTCCACTGTCTAGCACAGAGCAGATGCTTACTGAATAGTTGTTGACTGGCCAAGCATATAAAAGTCTGTCCTGAAGAAATGTAGACAACTGAGCACACACAGAATTGGCAGAGGTGGGAGGAAACAGATCCTTCTATACATTGTTGGAGAATGTCTCAACTGGTACAACATTTTGGAAAAAGCGGATTAAAATTTAAAAAATGCACGTGCTTTCCAATGTGGCAATTATTCTCTAAGAATTAATACTGTGAAAAATTCACGCATGTATAAACACATGATGGCTCATCCATTCAATACATTCTAACAGCCACCAAAATTCTGGTAGCTCTTTACTGACTCTACCTCTCTGTCTGTCCACACATAGATTAAATTTTTAAAAAAGCAAAGGTAAGCACTTTGTAGGATCTGCTTTCACCTGGGCAAAGGGTGAACTTACACATAGGTCGTGTGTGTGATTTAGGAACCCGCTGCTAATGCTTATCTCTGGGATCCTGAGGAACAGAGAAGGGGCTTTACATTGGAACTTTACCACTTTACCATTTGGCCCTTCATTCTCCTAGTGCTTAATCGTACGGTTGTGTTATATCATGGAAACAGACTGTCCTGGCTGCTGGAGAGGTGGGTGCTGAAAAGTTCGGGTCAGTGATGTTTGTGCTGTGGCTGACGTTGGGTCTTGATGACACATAGTTTGGATAAAGAACTGGGAAAACCCAGTGTTAATACATGTTTACTTAAACAGTATGTGGACTATTCGGGCAAGCATTTCCCAAGTGGGACACAACTCCAAGGAAAATTCTCAGTGGGGTGTCCATCTTGTCAGACCCGAACTCTTGTGAGCAGTGTCACTGTGACTACGTGCTGCCTTCTTATTTGGGACCCTGGGTGTCAAAGGAAGCACAGCCAAGAGGCTTCACTTGTCCTGTCCCTTCCCTGTGTCATGATATCACTCCCAGACAGATTTATGTGCTGCTAATTAAATCAGGACTCTTATCTAACCTTACAGTGGGAGTGTGTGTATGTGGGTTGCCCCAGCAATCTGGGAGTGCCACATGATTCTTTTCCAAAGAATGAAAGGAAGGCCAGGATTAAGGACAGGAAGCACAGGGCCAGTGACACCTCCTTCATTCCTGCCGTGGCATTGTCTACCAAGGGCTGGGGGGGTCCCCCCAGGAGGGGGTGGTGGTGAACTTCAGAGGGACCTACTCAGCCCGACCACAACTTTCCTGATTAAGGAGGCATTGTTGGTCCATGGCCCTGGAAAACATTCTGCAACTGGCCCTTCTAAACCGGGATCTTGGCTGCTCAGATCTTGGCAGCTTACAGACCAGGGAAAAAGAGGCATTTGATCTCCCATCTGCCAGCACTGTTAAACACTGGCTCAGACTCACACTTTTTATAAGCGTATTACCCACCTTAAAGCCACAGTTTATTTTTTAGTACCACAAAAGATGGTTTATTTGGGGAAAAAAAAATGGAAAAGAGAGGATAGACAGCTACCATGAGGTGGTAAGGGGCTTCAGAGCTAAAAGCCCCAAGTCAGTTTTTATAGGCAATTAGGACATAATCACTGATGCTTCCTTGTCTTTTATAGTAAAAAAAAAAAAAAGCTTTAATTGTTATTACTGTTGATTCTTGTTTTAGTTTTGGTTCAGACCGAAGAGCCAAGGAAACCCACAATCAGTTTCTTGAGAAATTGGTGGGATGTGTTCCACCACACCTGGAGCCCTGGGGTTTCAGATGAACATTCTCACTCAGGTCACGGAGGGACAGTAGGGAACAAGTGGTTCTGAGAGCTCGTCAAGCCAGATAGGGTGCCAGATGAGCAGGTGGAGCAAGACAGTGAAGGCAGGTGGAAGAGGAGCCGATGCAGAGCCGAGTGGGGCAGACACCCAGAGGCCCGCCAAGGGCTGTGGAGAGGTATCCAGGAACTACTTCAAGGACCTTGGTGCAGCTGGAGATATTTCTCAGGTCAACACGAGAAGGCAGCATAAATCAGCCCCTTCTGCCATGGCTGCCTGAACCTATGTGATGATATATTCATGTACATGGCTGTATATGAACCTATATGAGCCACATGAAGATTATTTTCTGATAGGTTGATGGTCTTCTCAGAGAGGCTCTCAGTCTTGGCTGCCCACCAAGAAATAAAAATACAAATGTTCTTGCCCCATTCTAAGCTAAATATACCAGAATCTCAGCAGGCAAGACAGCTCTACCATTGTACTGAAAAACTTGGAATTTCCCCTCCATGAGATCAGATATACAAACATTTGTCTAAGACAGTCAGATTCCCTTTAGAAAGTTATTTAAAACTACTATTCAGACTTGCATGGTGGTGCATGCCTGTGATCCCAGCACTTGGGAGGCTGAGGGAGGAGGATCTTTGTGAGTTTGAGACCAGCCTGGGCTACAAAGTGAGCTCAAGTCTAGCCTGAACTGCAGAGCAAGACCCTGTCTCAAAAAGACAAAAACAAACAAACAGACAAAAAACCACTATTACTGATGTGGGTAGAAAACATAATTTTAAGAATTAAATCCTTAAAATAAACTTATGAGCCAGAACATTTATCCTTGTTTTACAGATGAGGAAATTGAGGCTTCCCGTTCAGTAAGGTGACCAGAGTTAAAAAGCTAACTCATGAAGCAGCTGAGCTTAAATGCACCTGATTCACAGGTAGAAAGGATGTGGCACATTAATAAAAACATTATGGGATCTAGTTCTTAAAACACCCTTGTGAGAACTTTAAGTATTTTTAGGAGATGAAAAGGGAATAGAAAGAGCTTTACTCGTACTGTTTGCAGTTGCATAAAAAGCCAGTCACAGAGCTAAGCCAAAACCTACCTCTCCTGGCTTTTAGCCCAGTCTGTTCCTAAACAAACACTCAAGGATGCCGTCATACTACTAAATCGAGACTGCCAAGCAACCTGACTACACAACAGCATGTGTAGTTGTTTGTAAGGAGAACATGTCACCATCCTCACTTGTTCAGCCTATGAGAATTGAATCTTAATTCATGTGTCAGTTTTCTTATTGCTCCTGAATGAACTAGGAACTTGCCTTTGAAACTTCCAGCCAGGCAGATCAGTGATGTCTTGGATCTGGAGACAGCTTAGAGCTTTGTACAACCCTCCCACTGACCATCAGTGCAGGGCCCTGCATCACATTTACATTCCCTGGTTCAGGGCTGCTGTGATTTGTGAATTGATCAAGGTGCAATGAACTGGTGTGGCCTCAAGAAAATCATTTTCCTTTTTCTGGCACATTAGATGCTAATGATACCCAGAACTAGAAGGTACCAAAAATACATAAAATCTATGTGTAATGAGAAAGCTCTAAGTTCATTTTTAAAATATTTGGGTAAATTGTTGAGGGGAAAGCATTCCATTTAGAAGGGCAGAGATAAAGAAGAGAGAACTATGACTGTGTGTGTGTGTGTGTCTTGTTTTATTTTTTATGCCAGTAGGGAAGATAGAAAAAGAAACAAAACCACCCAACATAATCTTCCCAGAGGCATTATGGAGCAATTCCCTACTACATTTTGAGGACCATTTGTATTCACATGCTGTTCTCGTGTTCTCCTTGCTAATGCTGCTTTTCTGTGAATGACCATAATACAAGAGAATTAACTAAATTCTCAAAGATAGATGAGTAACAATCGCAAACACAGACCCAAAGAATTTCTTCAGTGCAGTTAGGAAACACAGTCCTGGGTTATGAAAACTGGATAGCAATATGGAAAACCCTTTAGATATCATGTTAGACAGAAAATACCCTTGGCATTTACAATTGCTACGTACCATGATTGCCAAAGATGTTAAATATATAGTATATATAGTTACATTTGTGTAACTTTACATTTATGTCATGAGAGAAAGGATGAAAAGGTTCATTTTTAAAATTTAATATTTTAATAATGGAATAATAGCACTTCAGAGACCATTGGTTTAGCCAGGATCTCTTTTAAGGCTCTCTGTGGCATTTTCTGAGTGTGCAGAAGATTCCAGGAGGTGTTTTAGGGTTCTCTGGAGAAAGAGTATGTTCAGATAAAAGAGGATCAGGCCAGGAATCAGATGGCATTGGTTACTGATTTCATTGGACTGCTGTTGATGTAGGGGGAGGAACTCATGTCTTCATTTGCTGCCTGACTCTTCACTGATGGCTGTTCTAAGGGACCCATATGAAGGGAGCCTGGTAGAAAGCCCCAGCCCAGATGCATGAACTTGAATGCTCATAGGGGCCAGGTATTAACTTAAGAGAATGAAGTGAGTAGGGTAATTCTGACATAGATTTTTCTTTTTGCTTCACCACTATTTAGGATTTATTTTTTAATTTCTAGCCCAAATTTATCATTTCATTTTTCTTAAAATGCACAAAGTCTTACATCCTTATCACTTTTTTTTCCCCATGTGATAAAAACAATTGTTTCTTTCTTTTTTCTTTTTTTTTTTTTTGGCTTTTTCCCAGTACTGGGAATCAAACTCATGACCTTGCGCTTGCCAGGCAGGCACTTTGCTGCTGAGGTAAATCCCCACCCCAACAATTGCTTCTTGTTTCTCTTACTGTCTAATTGGAAAAACACATAATGTGAATGCTGCTGGCTTTCTGTTCCATAAGGGGATAATCAGAGAAGGGAGGAAGGCTGTGAAGAACTGGAGCTTGGGTGCCTGGGCTAAGTGATATGAACTCCTTAACTCAGGCCAGTTGCTGCCATGAGAAAACACTGGCTTAGTGTGCAGAATTTTTTCAATTCTATTTATTTATTTATTTATTTATTTACTTACTTACTTACTTACTTATTGGTTTTCCACTGGAAAAAGAAAAGCAAGAAATTGATATGTCATGATGAAATCTCCCAATTTCTAACCATTGACCATCTGAAAAGACAAGAGCTGCCTATGCAGACAAAACACTTGCATGGACCACATAGAAGACCACAAGCCATCCTTTTGAGAGCTCATCAGAGTTTATGTAGTCTTTTCCACATCTTGGTGTCCTCTCCCTTAACTGCCCGCAATAAGACACTTGCAATTCAAAGAGCAAAGATGGAGACTTACTATGGAGCTGCTGAAGGCCACAGGCGGCTGTGAGCTTTCACAGCGCCCTACAGACCTTTGCCGGGAGTGACCCTGGATGGGCACCCGGGCACTCTGACTCCTCCTCAGAGGCTGGGTGCCTCCTTGACTTCTCATGGTTGCTGGCCTCTGGGCCCATCTCGCTGGGAATGACAGGCACTGGTACTGCGTCCACTCTTCACTGTCTGAGTCCACCTCCTTCAGGGTCTCCAGTCGCTTGGCTGCAAGAAAAGCATTGTCATACTTTTGTGGGACTACGGTTAGGAAGATGCTAGAACATGGGGGGAGGGGAAAGAGCCTAGGAAGGATCTATGCTGCGGTGGAAAAGTGGCAACTGGGCTACCAAGACAGGAGAAAGAGGGATGCACCCTAGTCCCACAGGTTCACATCCTGGCCCTCTTACCATCTAGGTATGGGACTCTTAGCTGTGACTCAACCTGCGTCTGTTTCCTCAATTAGAGTTTAGTAAAAAATACCTAGCTCATAGGATTGTTTTGAACATTTAATGATATAATATGTGAAAGTGATTAGCTCACTCTAAGTACTGGTAATGGTAGCTGTTATTATTAAAGAGTGATCAGAAGGTCCTACATAAACGGCAAATTATCACCATGGCAAAGGGGCTATGGCTGCTTATATCTCTTCCTTTCTCTGCCTCCCTTTCTTTTAACCAAAAGTGTGTGTGTGTGTGTGTGTGTGTGTGTGTGTGTGTGTGTGTGTGTGTGTGTGTATGGGGAGGGTGTCTGAAGGAATCAAGTGAGTTTTATTGGCCACCTTCAGTCCATGTACTATAACAGTTCAGGCATCTTATATAGCACTATCTCCTAGATCAGAATGTTGCCTAAGTGAAAAATCTAAGGGACCAGTTAGCATAGAAGGCATTTTCTAGAAGCTGGCCGTGTGCCTAGATCTAGATCCAGCCTGACCTGTCAGGTTAGGTGATTTGTGAAATTCCTAAGATTTGGCTGTATCACTGGTACCCAACTGTCCCCAGCCCAGACATAAGCATCCTGTGCTGTAAACACTACCAGACAAAGACAGACTGGAGGGGCACCACCTATGGGGTCACTTTTAAAAGCCTTGGTGAATCAGTGAAAGTTTAGAGGTGGTAAGAATTGCATTGTTCTGTGACAAGGCAGACTGGGGTTACAGGAAGTAACTTGACAAAATGCCCCACAGGATATAAGGGAAGACTGAGGAATCTCTTTTCTCATTTTTGAGGAGAAAAGGACATTTTTCTTCTGTAGATAGGGAGGTGCATGGAAGCCCTCGTACCATTTTCTTGATGACAATACTCGCGGCCCATGATGGTGCAACGTCGGAAGACCATCTTGTTCTCTGTTAGGGTTCCAGTCTTGTCAGAGAAGATGTATTGGATCTGGCCCAGGTCCTCTGTGATGTTGAGGGCTCGGCACTGAATGGGCAGATCAGACTCTTCATCGTAGAGGTCAAGGTCATTGTGCAGAAAGAAAACTTGCCCAAGCTTTACCAGCTCAATAGACACATACAAAGAGATCGGGATCAGCACCTGAGAGGAGACAGACACCATTGCATCAGAAACCAGGCGAATTCCCCACTCCTGGACTCTCACTTGTGTGTAGCTCAGGCATTTAATTAAAGGCTGAGGCTGGCTCACAGGAAGTACTCTTTCTGAGAAATTAAAGGTCAATGACTTCACACTGCCCTTGGAATTTTCTTGGGGTGAAACTGAAAGAGATATGCCCTTCAATTTAGGATGTCTGGATGTGACAGACACTCATCACTAGTAATATAAATGTTACTGTCAATGAGTGAGCGTTAGTGTCTCTGCCCGGAATCTCCCTCCACCCTCCAGAAGTATGCATGGCGTGTGACCATCCACTCTCCCAGGTACTCCCAGTCATTGTTGTTGTAAATATTCCAGTACCGAATATTTACCCAGTGATTTCTTTGTGTTGGATGCTGTTTTAACTCTTGGAAGTAGGAGTTACTGGAACAGAATTCCTGGCCTTAAAGAATTCACATTCATTCCAGTGACAGTAAATAAACAGTCCATATGGGATGGTGGTAAGCCTCATGAGGGAGAAAAACGAAAAAGAGGTCAGAGGGTGATGGGTGGGAGGACTCTTTTTAGACCATGACCTTTGAGCAGGGAGTGAAGGAGCGAAGAAATGAGGGTGTGAGTTATGAGGTTATCTGTGGGCGGAGAGTTCCTGGTAGTGGGAGTGGCCTGGGTGTCTGAGGGCCGGGAACAGTGAGCAAGCCTTGTACCTGAGTGAGGCAGAAGAGAGAGGCAGGAGGTGGGGTCAGGGCCAGGTCGAAGTCCAGGTCACTTGGTTGACTGTGGTCAAGGACTCTGGATTTCATTTTGAGCAGATACGAAATTAGTGGCTGAGTCTCTGCAGGGGCCAGCTATGCTCTGACTTTTAAAAATAATTACGTGGCTAGATGAATGAGTGAATACTTGAAAATGTCTAATCTTTAGTGGGACAATGAAGCACCTGCAGATACTACGAGATATGTAATGTATGGAACCTCATCAAAGCAAAACTACAACTTCTCTCATCTTTGTCTAGATTGTAATTTCTTGTAGAGCATGAAGAATTAAAAAAATATATCGCTCTATCCCTTATATTCTGTTGATGTTTTGTATTGTTTTTTCTTCTGTCCTTTTCCATCTCAACTTATCGAATGATGAAACACTCAGGTACTTTTTTATGCCTTTCCGTGCCTGGGGCTGCAGAGTTCTTTGTAACTCTCTGTGCTAGTTCATCTCCTTTTGATCTCAGGTCATTAGTGTCCTGACTGTTCTGTATCTGGCGAAGGGAAAGCACAACTGCGTCACAGTCGCAAACCCACTTTTAAACAGCAGAGCCTGATCAACATTTCCCTCCAGCTGGTATCTGAAGGGCCAGGTTCTCCCCACAAGGCAGGGCGACCTCCCGTGTGAACACTTTCAAAGACCCACAAGCAATCAGTAACCGCTTCCTCATCAAAGTCCAGTTACTTCTTTCTTGGGGCCAGAATTACCTTGCCTTATTTTTCCAAATTTCAGAGGTTGGGGAGGCGTCCTACCTGGAGCAGGATGATCATTGTGAGGAACATGTAGAAGCCCCCGAGGGCCGGGGGAAGGAAGTTGCCATTGGCATCTGGCACATCAAAGGGAGGGTGTTCTTTAAAGGTCTGGTTCCAGAGGCTGTGGCCTGGGAAGAAGCAGATCTAGGGATGAGATAAAATTCCCATTTGGTTTTAAAGATGGTTAGATACATCTCCTCTGGACCTGTTCCTGGAAGTTGGCATGCTTTGGAGGAGCCATCCTTCCCCCATGCAGCACAGCTGTGGGTGTCTGTTGGTTTTGATGAGGCCCTTTATATAGTCTATATTTCAATCAGTTGACTAATCGATGGTCATTAAATGTCTTACCAGAGGAGACTAGGATAGGGATGTCTTATTTTTTGATAAAGTCTTTTTACATAGGGGCTAGAAAGAAAGGGGGCATGTGTGGTGGAAAGCACACGGTTGGTGAGTCTCCACAAACCTGTGCCCTGACTTCCCTTCTTCCTCTATCCCTCCCTCCTTCCACCCTTCCATTTCTCTCTCTGCTCATTTATTCCATATATATCCAACACTTATCAATTCAAAAAGGCATCAGTCCTCATTCAAGTCCTTTCAGAGGATCCTTCCCTAGCAAGTTAGGGAGCATGACCTCAGAAGACAATGACAGACAGCATGAACTGTGCTGTGCCAGAGCCTATGCTATGCCCAGCAGGGGCACCAGATACAGATGGAAGTGTTTCTGTCTCTGCAAAGGGGCTGATAACACTTGTTACCTGTAGATCTCCCAAGATGAAGTGTATTCAGTCTCTGCCCCAGAGCTTCCTAAACTTCAGTGTTCTCATCTGTTAATTAGCAGGAATATTTGCTCCATATGACGACTGTGAGAGTAGAATAATCTAGTGTGCAGTGCTCTAAGCTCTAAGGAACAGGAAGCATAGGGAATGATGCCCAATCCAGAGACACGTCTTTGCCCAGTGTACTGGGCCAAGTGCATTCACACGTGGCAGAAAAAAGGAGACTTTCAGACATGATGTTATCTGACGGTGATACGGAGCAAATGACTCAGCACATCCTAAGGGTCCCTGGACTTCAGAGGAACAAGGTAAAGACATGGATGAAACCAGAGAAGTCTATGAGGAGGAGGAAGAGGGTAAGGAAGGGGAGGAGAAAGAGGAGGAGGACTTGAGAGGTCTGGAGGTTGGGTAGGTGTTGGTGTGGGAGAGAGAAAGGCCAGAGGAGGGCATCCGGGGCAAAGAAAAAAGAAATACCTATCTTACAAAATTAAAGTAAATGTTTAAGGAACCTTGGGTGCTGCTAGGTCTCACTGGAGAACTTTTCCATCCTCCAGGACTATACTGAAGTGAGGCATCAACAGAATCCTGCTTGATGTATGAGTTGTTATTCTTGAATAGAATTCTGTCTCCCTCCTTGATGAATTCTCTCTGATTATTGCTTTGGGCCGTATGCCAAGCTAATTTGGGCTGTCTGTGCCTTGTCTCTGTGTGGCCTTTTAATCTTTAACTTTCTTTCTCTGGAGACACAGTGAGAGGATCTCAATGGGCCTTTCAGCTTCAACTTGGCTGGAACACCTATCCCAAGGCAACGAACAGTTCTGCGGTGACCCTTGTGGGCACAGTGTGGCCTGTGGGTGGCAGTGGATGATGGCTACCTTCTGGGGGCCTGCTCCCTCCCACTCTGTACAGGTGCTGTCCGTACACCTGTGGGCCACCCTCCCCTGGAGTACTGTTAGACTCATTGTAAGACTTGATCCAGACCTGACTCTCCCAGTGCCCACCTGTCTGCCAGCACAGGCACTGTTCTTAGCTCAGACCTCTTGCCCTTGGCAAACACCAGATGCCCTGAAAGAGCTAAGATGGAGCAGGGGATCATCCAAATGCCTGCACATTGGAAGGTACCCAAACATTCACACCCCTTGCCACAAGGACTTTGCTCACGGAGGCATGAGATACCCAGAGAATTCTGACCACTGCTGTTTACTAAGATCCTTCCACCTAATGTCCCTTGCCTTCTTTCAAGCCCTAGAAAAGAATCCTGATTCTCTTTGTTCTCTACAGACAGGCCTTTTTGCCCTCTGTCTGCCTGCACTCAGGCACAATAAATTCCACCCTATGCTGCCTTTACACAAGCCCAGTGGTCTCAGCTGGTCTCTGCCTCACGCTATTGCTTACACTCATCTGGAAATTGTATTAAGCAAAAACTCAGGCCTCTTTGAGACTAAGTCCCCCTGTGGTCACTGTGGTGCACACTAGACCTCTCTGAGCCCAGAACTACCTCTGGCTTTCACACATGATCTCTTTAAAATAATGATGTTGTGATTCTAAGGCAATGCTGCTCATTGAGTAGGGTTCTGATGGTGGGGGGCTTAGCAAGAGTTCTTTCTCTTAATCAACCCGGGTTCTTTTTGGGGTCTTCTTTAGCATCCTGTGAACCATCTTAGGTTTATACACAGGAGTAGAGGCATAAGAACTTCATGGAGGACCCTATCTCCCTTCATTCTGAGGATTTACTTCAGTGACTCCAGCTCACTCCTGTCCATACTTCTGGCTGTGTCCGGTTCTGATTAGGTCTCCATTCTAGGCCTTGTTCTTGCTACACCAAACGCCAACTATTCCTGTGCCTATGGTGATTCTCCTTCCTACTCCGGTGCTTTGCATCTGTCATCCCTGAAGCTGAGAGTGACCTTTCTCCTCACAGCTTCTTGTCACATCCTCCTGTTAAACTTGCCTTTACCATCTACTTCTCCCAGTGCATGCCTACTCCTTTTGGGGGTCAACCAGGGCAGCTGCTCTTGAAGAAGGGCTCCTGTGGCACCCGTAGGAGGCTAAATAATACCTCCTTCAACAGACACTTCCTAATTCCAGGGCCTGTGAATACACTGCCCTGTATGGCAAAAGGGACTTTGCAGATGTGCTAAAGTCATGGGATTTGAGGTGTCCTGAGTTACTTGTGGGCTCAGGGATGTGAATGCAAGTGTCCTTGGGAAAGAAGGGCTTACTGCTGCAGAGTGGGGGAAGGACTGTGAGCAGGAATAGGAGTGGTGAGCTTTGAGGATGGAGGAAGGGGACACAGACCAAGGAGTATAAAGAACAGATTCTTCTCTGAAAGCCGAGCTAAATGGAAGCGAATCTACTAGTATTTCAATCCTAACCCAGAGAAATGGATTTGGACTTCTTACTTCCAGAGCTGTACCAGAATAAATGTGTACTTCTTGTTTTTTTCTTTTTCTTTTTTTGGTACTGGGAATTGAACCCAGCCCTTTCACAAGGAGCTATATCCACCATCTTTTCATTTTCTTGAGACAGGGTCTTATTAAGTGGCTAAGTTGCCCGGGCTGGGCTCAAACTTGCAATCCTCCTGCCTCACCCTCCAAGAGTAGCCTGGCTATCTGTGCTGCTTTGAGCCACTCCGTTTGACTTAATTTTTTACAGTGGCAGTAGGAAACTAAGATGGTACCAATTTGCGGCCCCTTGTGGAGTGGGAAAGATTGTGTTATCAAGTCTGTTCACATCTTTTCACTCTTCCCCTCCAGACTTCTCTTCATCTTGCTGTCCTCCCACACTCTGATAACAGATGAAATTCCTAATGTTTAAAGAGCACATACTACTTTGAGGAGATTTTACTTGTGGTTTCCTTCCATGGCATTCCATTACTGTATTTTTTATTAGCCCCATTATATGGATGAGGAAGCTGAAGCTCAGAGAATTCAAGCAACTTGTCTGAAGAGACATGGGATCACCCTGTGCTTTTTCTCTAGAATATTCCATACCTATGGCTCCACAGAGGCACATGAGGAACAGGATCCCGATGCAGAAGAAGATGTCTGTGTTCATACGCCGCTCAATTTTGCTGCGTTTGTACCGTGGGCCGCTGTTGTTCAGCATGGCTTTTGTCTCGTGGCCTTCGAGAGAAAATGGGGAATTTAGTCCCTTGAACCCCTTATGGTCTTCCCTGGACCATACCCTTGGCTGTTCTCACAGGGCAGCTTCTGATAAAAATAAGGCTTCATTTGCTAAGTGGTACCTCCACTATACAACTCTAGAGGGTCCTGCTTATCTCACAGGGGTCAAAGATTTGTAAGTTTACTGTGACAATCTTCCGGCAAGGGGCAGTGCAGGGTCTTGAGGAAGGACTATCTTTCTCTGATTTGTATGATGGTAGTGTTCTGGCTGTTATGAGTTGGAGGTGGGATACAGTGCCAGGACAGCTGGTTCAGCGTTCTGGGGAAGACACACAAAGAAATGAGATCATCACGGTGATTAGTAAGTCCCGTGGAATAAATACCAAGTAGCAACTGAAGGGCTAAGGCAGTTAGGAGACAGGTTTGACAAAATAGTCAGAGAAAGCTTCACAGAGGAGCTGACATTTCAGGGAGAGTGGAGAGTTCCAGGGTGGGGGAACTCTATGTGCAAAGAGCCTCTGGTAGGACAGTGGTTATAAATTTCCATAGTTATTTCTTTGTTTATATTAAGATTTTGGTGTGTCCCGTGTAAGAATATCACTCCAACACTATCCCTTCTTGAACAGCTCCACTCCTATCTTGGAAATCTGCTTTTTGTTCAAAGAGGGGATGAGGGCTGGGGATTTAGCTCAGCGGCAAAAGCGCCTGCCTGGCAAGCGCAAGGTCATGAGTTCAGTTCCCGGTACCGGAGAAAAACAAAAAAAAAAAACAAAAAAAAAAACAAAGAGGGGATGAAGAGTTTTAATACTCTTCCGGTCATTTCCTTTCCCAGTTAGGGAAACTGAGGATCAGGCTGGAAGGGACCTGCCCAAAGTGAAAGAAGAAACAGACATGAGTCATGCTGGGAAGGCAGGATTCTGATTCCTAGTCTACTTCTCTGTCCGCTGACCCATGACACGGAAGGCCACACAGCCAAGAGCTAGGAGTCAGACAGACAGTATCTTCGGGCACCACCTTTCCTTCAGGCTGCTGAATTTTAATTATGGTACCACACTCCTCAGAAGTCAAATTTGGAAATGCCCTTACGTATTTTCCATGCAAAATTAAAGAAAACCAATATATCAGCTCTAGAAGCAACTGGCTTCAATGCTGCATAGCTGGTTGCCATGTGGATTTAAAGCGGCAACAAATCAATAGGGGTGAACAGACTCCGGGCTTATTAAAGTCTACTCAAGTTGTCGTGCCTGCAAGGACCCCCTGCTGCACAGTGAGCACAAGTCAGGGGTTCACGTCTCTGTCTGTCTGCCTCGAGGGCAGCCCGCACTGGCGTCCAGAACCGCCCTCTTCACCTACTTCCCCTCGTCTGCTGAGCCCTCTGCGCTCGCTAGGGCTGAGCTCCAAGGTGAGGCCCTTGGGTACAGAGTCAGGTAAAACTCAGCTCTGCAGATGCTGTCTGTGACCTGGGGTTACAGAGAGTTAATCTGAGGAGACGCGAGACCTCAGATGAAGAAATGCCTTTGCACCTCAATTTCTTCTCTGTAAAGTGGGGGATAATGGCTGTGCGTTTAGGGTGTGGGAGTGAATTAATGTAGGTAGATTCACTTCTGGCACACAGAAGGGTCTTTATAGATGTTTGTTGGGAGGAGCACACACCTTGCACTGAATCCCTTCCTTCTGGAAAGCTCAGTGTGGCCTCTCTGGGCCTTTGACACTGATGTCCTCCTACTGAGTTCACTGAGAATACCAATGGAAAGAAGGAAACTTGGCCAGACTTTCCCAACCGGGGCTCTCTGTGCGCCTCAGTGGGCATTTGGCAATGTCTGGAGAAAGCTTGATTATCACAACTTGGGAGAGGAGTGAGGTTTATGTACCTTGTACGTACAGGCCAAGGAGGCTGCTAAACGTTTAGCAAGACAGCCCCCCTCACTGCAAAAATTATTCCAGATCAAAATGTCATAATACCAGGGTTGAGGGCCTCTGCTCTAGATAGCGTCACTAAAGAGTGTCATATTTGTTCACAATTATTTTGAGAGCATAGTTCATTCTAGGTACTATGTTCTGTTCTTTTGACAGATAATCTTATCTGAAGTTCACATTCCCAAAGGGCAGGAACTCTTGGCCCCTTTTGCATTGAAAGTTTAACCAATAAGCACAGGAACATGCAGAACATGACTGGATTTTACCCTGGGCCATCTGGCTAGCCTGAGACATGGTTAGTACTGTCCCCAAATGTGTTCCCTCATATCCTGCTCCCATCCCCCACTTGGGGGTTCTTCTTTGCTTTTAACAGATTTAAAGGTCAAAAAGTAAAAGAAGTGAGAAGCCTCTGCTATGGTCCGAATGTTGTTTGTTCTCCAGATGTTCATGTTTTGGGAGCCTGGTCTTTGTTATGGTTGATACATTGTGTCAACTTGGAGAGTCTAGAGGTTTGGCTAAGTGACTCAGCATCCTGGGGTGCAAAGGACATGCCCTTCCTGCCCTAAGATGTTGTTCATTGTATCAATGTGAGAAGTTTAGAAGGTTAACTAAGTGAGTGCTGCCCCCTGGGTGGGGGTAGCCTGTTTACCACATAAGAGAGGGAGAGGGGCTGCTTGCTACCATTCCCCGCTTTGCTCTTATTGCTTTGTTATCTTCTGCCTCGGAGCCAGCCAAGTGTGGACTGAAACCTCCACGAACTGTAAGGTAAATAAACTTTTCCTTCCTTCATTTTGTGCATTGGGTGTTTTGTCTCAGCAACGAGAGAAAAGTAACCAAGACAGTCTTCAATATGGTGATGCTGGAAGGCAGGACCTTTAAGAGGTAGCACCTACCATAAGTCCTTCGGTCGATTGAGGGTGCACCTCAGGAAGGGCCGTGGGACCCCAGTGTGGTTGTTTCCTCACACAGGGGATCCCACCATGGTGACCCAGCTAAGAGTCCTCATCAGGCCTGAGGTAATGCCAGCACCATGTCCCTAAACCTCCCAGGCTGTGAGCTAAATACACCTCTGCTCTTCACAAAGTTAGCCAGCCTGGGGGCTGGGGATGTAGCTCAGTGGCACAATGCCTGCTTGGCAAGTGCAAGGTTGTGAGTTCAATTCTTGGTACAAAAAAACCAAAAAGTTAGCCAGCCTGAAATCTGTCAGTACAGCAATGAACAGCTGCAGACTTAGCCCCCATACCTGGGGCTATAAAATAACAGTAAAATCAATGACAGAAGCAATAACTGGGAGTGGAGGTGTGCTCAGAGGTGGAGCCTTGCTAGCTGTGCAAAGCCCTGGATGTGACCCCTAGCACCACAGAAAACAGGAAGTGCAGTCTCTCGAGCTCTCCCTTCCCTAGGCAGTGCTGGGCGCCTTTCATGTGTTGGTTTATTTAGTCCTCATGTATCCCTCCTTTCACTGCTACATGAGGAAGTTGGGATCGGAAAGGTAAAGCTGTTGTTCAGTGAGGTTGTTCTGCAGGCCAGGGGAGGTGAGGGGAGGTGCTCTCCGTCCTTACTTACTGTCACAAGACCACTGAGGTGAATGAGTGGGAATCCCTCTCCCTGTGGGGTTCAGAGGAGTGATGTTAGCTCAGCATCTTGTGCAGGGAGTAAGCTGCTGTGACCCCCCAGCCTCAGTCTACTTAGCTGAGAAATGGGAATTTCCAGGCTTTAACCCTGTGAGCTGCTGTAGGTTCCCCCATGACTAAAGATGGAGTCACAGGAGAGGTTGGGTATGAGAAACGGCCCACAGGCAAGTACCTGTGTAGATGACAATGCCAACAGCCACCTCGGTGTTTCTGATGGTGCAGCCTCGAAGCAGAAGACTCTCGCTGCCAAAGCCAGTCCTGGTCTGGTCAGGGTGCTCCCTGGAAAGGGTGAAGGAGAGACGGGGTGGTTTGGTGGCCTCTCTCTGTGGTCACTGAATAGCATCATGGAGCTTAAGCTGGTGAGCAAACATGATCCCCCTCCTCCCTCTTGTCAGAGGGGCAAGGGTGACTGTGAATGTCCTCACCTTTGTGTTCCAGTACATTGCTGATCTGCTCCTGGAGGCCCAGCTGGGTACTAGGCTATGGGGAGGGAATTGTCCACTCTGAGGAAATCCTCATTTACCCACACAAAAGGCGGAACCTGCTGAAAAGCTTCAGCTTTCACTCCCACACTCAAATTGACAGTCGCGGCAAAGTGTGAGATCCTATAAGGCCTGGCGTCGTGTTCCCTTTAGGCAGTGTTCCCATGACTTCTTACCTGCTGCTGGGGACCCGACCTGCACAAGAGAGCATCTAAGTCTATGGACGATACCATATGATCCTGCTTCTCACACCAGGAACAGGTGAAGGCGGTTGTACAAGGTTAGGAAGGGCATGTCGCAGTCCCGCTCCCGTTCTGTGCTTCATTTGCTCAGGCTCTCATAAAATAGGCAGCCCTCACAGGGGGCAGACAGTGGCCTTCCACCCAAGTGATGAAGAGGAGGTGAAGTGTCCTCCTTCCTCTGCGCCGGGGAGCAGGGCCATGTTCCACCTCACGCTAGAGACTTCTGAGCCCAACTGATGACATTAGTTTCCTGGGTTCTGGCTCTTATTCTGTCTTGATGCCTTTCTTTGGGATTTCCAGCAAGTTTAAATATAATTTACAACAAATACTAGGGAGAATAGAAAAGCAATCACCTGAACCCTGAAAGCCGTTTCTCCTTATAGCTCAATATTTCATGTCTCTACATCTGGTTGTAAGTCTTTTCCATGTATTAACTCCATTAAGCCTTTAGACCAGCCTTGTAAGCTAGGTCATGTTATCATACCTACTGTAAAGATGGGAAAACAAGCAAATTCATAGAGCTGGTAGGTGCCAAAATAGGGAGTCAGGCCTGGAAAATCTGGCCTCAGAGTGCTATCATGCCACCCAATATGCCTTCTAATGTTAATGTTTCCTCACTGTGTTTATAAATGATGTTCATTTACATGACTTTATTTGACTCTTCATGATGCTGCAAAGGTAACAGGCTAGTTTTACTTGTGAAAAAGCAGTTCAGAGAAGCAGAGAGATTTTCCCAGGGCCACACATCTAGTGCATGGAGCATCCCAGGGTTAGGGAATCCGGATCACAGACACCAACCCTATCGTGTTTCTCCTGCCTGAGATCCTCTCCATTATCTGGCACTGATCAGAGTCATTCTGTTTTCAACTCTGTGAATCTCCCAAGGAAAATGCCCTCGCTTCCTGCGGGAATGCTGTTAACCCTTTACCACTTCTCTCTCCTACTTTTTAAGAAAGAAAGGACTTTGGAGAGTAATTGTTAGGATATAATAATAACCATTTTGATTTAATTATACACATTTTCACTCAACTGTCCATGTATGGCAAGTGATACTGGTTTCCCATAAGGAGAGTGAGAGATGAATTTTTTCCTTTGAAATAAATTTAATAAAGAACAAATGGATAAATGTATAGATTTTTTTTTACAAATATGATAAAAATCATGAAGGTGGTCCAAGAATGGCTTTTGGGGCCCTGGTTACCCCTTCTTTTCATCAAGGAGGAGCTTGGCTATGGACCGAACAGTGGGCTGGTAAATCTTGGCTGTGCCACTGTTGTAGCCTGTGATTTGAAGAACCATTATTTGGTGCTCTTTGTTTACAGGGATGCTCCACTGAATGGACGGGAGAGCGACATTTCTTGGTGGGGGCGCTGTTAACATTTTAGGCAGGATGATTTTTGTTGTGAGGGGCTACCTAGTACATTGCAGGAAGTCGGGCAGCATCCCCAACCTCTACTCACAAGATGCCAGGTGCACTCCTCCTCAGTTGTGGCAATCTCAAATGCCTCCAGACATTGCTAACTGTCCCCAGGTTGAGGAAGAGGGAGATGTCCCCTGGTGGGGAACCACTGTTCTATAGAGTTGTTTGTTTAAAAGTTGCATTTTCAAATCTGATACTGCTAATACTTCAACCAAGTCATCAAAACCTGTTTATCTCTGAGGCAACCTGTGCAGTTACAGGGATCTCTTGAGTTAAGGTGACCTGCACAAGCTTCTGGGAACCCTGATGCATCAGACTAGGGGGAAAGAGTGCTGGGCCTGGGGATATTCTCCTTGCTAGCAATGGCAGGGATGTGGGACAGCATGGAAGAAATCTCCATCATCCGTGGGCTGGCTAACGAGTTGTAGTTTTAGGGCTCATGTGTGAGGCTCAGGAAAAGGAGGTAGTGATTGAGTGGCACTGAGGCAGCTCTGTCCTGAAATCTGAGGAGGGTGGACAACAGCCCAGGTTGACAGCTGAGAAGGGCTGGCTGCTGATAGAAGGAACTGGAAGGAGAAAGGAGCACAGAGAGCTGCCCATCAACAAGGCTGTCCTCTGAGCGAATAAGGAGGATGACCAAGGCACATGACTTGGGCCAAAATAAGTCCAGAAGCCTTGGGCACAAGGGGCACATTCCTTGCCAGGGCAGGTGACCAGTTCTGCCTGGCCGGGTGCCTGCAGTGAAGTCTTCCTCTGCCCCAGCTCCTGCCTGCTCTGCAGTCTCCATCTGCTCTCTGTGAGCATTTAAAAGCTGCTGCTTTTTGTCTGGGATGTAGCTCAGTGGTAGAGCATGTGCCCGGCACGTGTGAATCCCTAGGTTCCATTCCTAGTGCCGAAAATAAGCTACACTCTCTCTTGTATTGTTCTTTGCCCACTCAGACTTCTGAAATCCAATATGGCAAAAGAGCTTGTGGGTGGAAGAAAACAGAGCTACCTGCATGGCCATAAGTCTTCTCCAGCTGCCTTCTGAGCCCTGTCGGGAAGAAGTTGCTGTAACGTGGCTGAGCTCTGCGAAGCAGGGCAATGGAAAACATTTCGCGTTGGAGTCCAAAGATTCACACTGAAGTTCTGTACCTGCTGTGTGAATCTGGGTGAATCTTGAAGTCTTACATCACCACATTCCCTGTCTGAACTATAGTGCTCGCGCCCCGCTTCCCCGGGGCAGTTGTGAAGGCTGCAGAGCCGATGTTTTGTTGGCATGCTCTAAGAACTAGGAGCACCCTGCAGAAGTGCATTTATTCACATTTGCTATCGTTGCTCTTATTCTGCAGAAAGTCCAGTAGTCTGGTGTAGGAATAGAATTACAATACAATTCTCAGGCTGAACCCAAGTTGGAGAAGATGAATCACAGTAATTGCAGCTACAGAAGCCACCATTAACTGGACGTCTGTTGTTTGTCATTTGCTCTGCTAAGGGCCTTGCAAATGGTAAACTTACTTCTTAGAAAAGAAGAATCTTATTATGATCCTTATTTTACAGATGTGGCAATAGCAGGGTTAATTGTTTTCCCCAAGCTCGCACAGCTTAAGACGGGAAGAGCCCTGATTCAAGCCCGGTCTGTCAAACTCTGAAGTCCCCTAAACCAGCACCGTGTCTTTCCCAAGACTCATCTTAGTTAAAACATTTTCCTTGTCTGAATCAGAGCATGGCCTTAATTTGGATGCTATTCCACCAGAGTTCCAAATAAACCACTAGTGCATTTAACCTTGACAAATAATTAACAATCACTCCGAACCAAAAAGGAAAAAAAAAGAAAAGGAAAAAAAAAGAAAAGGAAAAAAGAAAAAAAATATTTCCCAACGTAGAGCTCTCTAGTTCTTCTGTATACAAAAAAGAAAAAAACCTCAGGATCTAGATGCTTGTCTGGTCATTTCAAGAAAACATTTTCTAGCAGCACAGGAGAGATTTGCTAACAGTAAAGAGGTGATCAATACTTACATGTAACCCTTAAATTTGTTGAGGTGGTTGTTGGGTTTTTCACACACGACGGTGTTGTGGAAGTGCTCTGGTTGGAACTGCCCCTCCTGTGACAGAGAGGAATCTGTGTGAGGTTATTAAGTCAGGGTGATCTAGTCTTACCAGGATTATCAGAGAGCTAATCACCATTAGAACCATGGCAAGTAAGGGAATCCCTGCTTTGCCACTCTGTGCTAGTTATAATGTGTCAGAAGAAAAGACCTAAATCCTTAATAAGGAGGAGAAAGAAGATGCAAATGAGAAGCCCCTGGCGCAGCACTGTCCAATAGAACTGGCCATCATGGTGGCCACATTGTAAGTCTGCACTGTCCAGTAACACGTGAGGCTCTGAGCACCTGAGGATGGCACTTTGACCCAGAAGTTGGTTTTTAAACTTAATTTCAGTTACTTTCAAATACAACAACCACAGGTACCTAGAGGGTACATCACACTGAGCAGCGCAGAAGCCAGAGAAATGGATTGTAAATCACAGGCCTAGAGATGGCCGCAGCTGATACACTTATATGCCCCAGGGTTTCAAAAAACTACCCACACGTATAGCTATGTGTGTACACGCACACAAAATGAGTTAGTGTTCCCACATCTTCAATACTTTTGTGTTAATTTAAAAATCTTTGTTAGCACTTGAATAGAAACCTACTACACCAATGCACCATATTTCCTTTAACCACTCCACCGTTGAATATTCAGTGTTTCACTTTATTTTGCTATGAAAACAGGAGCTGATGAAACCGAATAAACGGCATCTGCTGGACTCTTATTTCTGCTTGGCCCTGGGCTGAGAACTTTATGTATGTTACTTATTTTCAAAACTTACAATCATCCTATGTGACGGGAACTTCACTTATGCCCTCTTTGGAGAGGGAAGTGTGTGTTTCAGAAGGGTAAAGTAGGCTGTCCACATCACACATCACACCAGGGCTGGGGTGTGCACCTAAGTCTAACTGCAGACCTGTTGTTTTACTGGCCCAGCACATTGTCTCCCGCGGGAGCAAACTTGCACCTAAGCATTTGAAATATGTTATTAACTCTGTACTTCTTTCAACGGTATTGCGGTTGTACAAGGTTTTATGATACCATATGGGTAAACCATACAGAGGGGTGAAGCCCTTGTTTCCTGTCTTCCTCACTGGCTAATACTATGTTCTACTCCTGAGCCTTGGTTTCTTCATCTGTAAAATGGGGCTAGTGCCATCTGACTTGCCCCTCTCACTTGTGCCTCAGAAGGTAGAATCTGTGTGGAACAGTTCGGAAATGTGCAGCACACTATGCAGTTAGAAGGCGAGAGTGGTAAAGGCAGGTTGGAAATGGTTTCTGGAGCACACCCTTTAGCATGGGGAGTGAATTTATTGCTGAGCTGCAAGGTACACTTGTTCAAAAGGTCAGATTGATCCAAAGGGATGATAGCATTTTCTGTCTGTGTAAATATACTGTCCATTGCACCTGTAGGGGAACCGGCATAAATAAACTCTTCACTCCTTTGAAATAAATTACCCATCCAGGAGTTTCTAAAAATATGGCCCTTTCCCCTCCAGGTATCGATTCCTCTGGGGACAAACACTTGCCAAGTTCTGAGATGATGACAAATCATGTTGTAATTTGTCAGCTGCTTCCCTCCCCTGATTAAGTCTCGCGCTTCATTCTGATCCGCACCCCTCAGCTCCCCGCTGCTTTTGAAAGCCCGGCTCATTTTGGAGACGAGTGGCAGCGGGGTCACCGAGCTAATGACCCCTCTGCAGTGACTCCCTGTCCCTGTTGTCCCTGTGGATTTTCAGCAGTGGTGAAGTGTGACTCTTTCGGTCCTCTCTGGGGGATCTTTGAGTAAACGTCCTTCTGAAGTCCTTTCCTTCCGGCACTGGCAGCGTGTCCTCTGCCTGGCAAGGTGACCTTGATCCTGCTTGCTATCTATTCTCTGGGCTCCTTCCTTCCGTTTCCGAGATAGACTGCTGAGGAAGGTGCATGGGTACTGCCGACCGTAACGGGACCACTCAGAGCCCGCTTGCCTTCAAGGGTCTGTCGTAGCTCAACCCTAAGGAGCTGCTGGCCCACAGCCTGAGGGTGGGAGGAACTGTCCAGCTGCACACAATCTGCCAGAGCCCTTTCTAAACCTGTTCCAGGTCTTTGATTCCTTTCTGAGAGGGGCCGTTGCTCTCCTCACCAGCTGACAGTTTTCCTTAGAGTATGAAGGAAGCTCCAATTATTAACTTCTCCTTTCTGATTCAGTCTTTTATCTAAGGCACTGGCCTTTGATGGAAGTTCCGCCGACTGCAGTCAAGGCACAGGGAGAAAATGTCACACGGAGAAGAGTGTATGCCTCTGCATTTCATTAGGGCAGACCTATGTGTCTTGAGCACTTACTGTAGACCATGCCCTGGACAGTAAATTCTCACAGTGACTTTAAGAAGTTTGGACGTATGTGCAAACAGAGTCTGAAACACCGTGACTGTCTCACAGTTGGAGAACTAGGGCTGCAACTCACATCTTTGGAGCAGAAAGCCTAGCACTGCTGACATCATTGTCATTATCTTCATACCCTTATTCCTCTTTCCCTTTCTCCTATTTTCTTTGTTGATGAAGCTCTTATTGAGTGCCTAGTGTATACTGTGGACCAGCTACATATTTATACATGCTACCTCCTTTAGTTTTCATGGTTAACTCTATCAGGTTTGTTCTGTTATCTTTTAATTTTTAACAAATAAAGAAGCTAAGGCGTAGAGAGGATCTCTGTCTTTCTCAGTGTCTTTCAGTTAGTAGGGCAGGATGACCGCAGTTACTCTGAGCGTGGCTGACTCTTAAGTGTCTGCTGTCTCTGCCCCAGTATTATTTGGATGCACAGATGAAAGATCAGTGTTCAGGAGCCCCCCCTGGCCTTATTTCCATCCTTGCTACCTTTATTTGTCATTGTTTCTGCAGTCCTGGTATTGAACCCGCAGCCTCATGCATGCTAGGCGAGTGTTCAGCCGCTGAGCTATGCCCCAGGCCTTTTGTTTTTTAATTTTGAGACAGGGTCTTGCTAAGTTGCTAAGGTTGGCCTTGATCAGTTTAGCTACCTTTGCTTGAATGGAGTACTTGATATATTGCATTCCCTCCCTAATACATAGTAGAAAATATGTAAAAATTACTATGCATTCAGTGTAAAATTACCTTTTTCAAGTATAGTTGCATTTTAAAGGGTAAGGGTAGGTGTTCAGGCACTAAATTGCTGAGAAAACATTCTCTTCAGGATTTTAATTTATTTTAGCACTTAAGATGTTTTTATGTTTTTCTACTTCTCTGTGAAGCCCACTTTAATCCGCAGAGATGCTTTTACCCCAGCCAGTAAGAATTAATTGCTCTTTTTAAAAAATGTGCCCCTGCCCCACAATGGGTATGCTTTTGTTTAACATGATGGAGCCTAGATGAGCACACCCTTTGAAAAGTTGGTAGCTTCCTCTGGGCAGCTCCCGGAAGACTTAACAGGCCCACCATAAAGATTTGGGGAGGTGAGGTTAGTCCTGGAGCGGGTAGTTTTAGGAAGGTGTACATTTAATGATGATGGATGAAACAGTACAACGTAGACATCGCTGTAAGGACCGAGCCACAAGATTAAGGGAAGAGGCAGTTATAATCTTAACTTTGAGCTGTAGGAAAGAAGCCACTTACTTCATGGCAATTCTTTGGCTCAACTAATAACAAATGTCTCAAGAATCCTGGATCCCAGCTTGGGCTAGCCTAGTCTCCCTTTCATTTGTTTATGAATTGAAGCTTTTATTGAATATCCAGGATGTACAGGCTATGGTGGAAAGTAAGAGAAAATCAGCAAGGAGAGGTTATGACTCAAACTAAGTACTCCAGCCATAAAACAACTCAGGGTTCCCAGTGTTGCTCAGGTGTGTCAGTGGCGGTACCTTTAAAACAAAAGAAAGTGGGCCAAGAGCCAGGGTGTCATAACTTCCTGGGGTGAAGGCCCTCCTTGTTGACCCGTGTCCCAGATATAGCAAGCTTGCCACTGCCTAGGGCAGGCAACTGGAGATGAAGCAATCAGTCTGAAATATACTCTAGTAGCTGGAACAGGCCATTTCTTTTGAATGTACTCAAAGTTTAATTTACCACTACTTTTTCACAAGTGGATCTCAAGTTGATCAAAAAAATGTGGTTAAGTAAATGCATGCTCCATCTTTAGAAATTGCTCCTTCCGGGTCTTGTTTTCTGTCTGCCCACCTTCCTGGGCTCCTGTTTTGCATAATAACCGTTTGACTTCCTTTTGGGAATTTACCTTATCTTCCTGGTTCCTAATCTTGGTGGGCCTGTAGGTCTACATGCCCTGCCCCTTAGACTCTCCCACTATGGGACTTTGAATTGGGTGTAATGCTTAAGGAAGAAAAGGGAAAATAGGAGAACATCAGGCAATTCCTGCTACCAGTACTCTACGGCCCTGAAGTGTTCCCTGCTGCTTGGTTTTTCTGAGCCTGAATCTTCAGATTATTTTTGATTTTGTGTGTCAAGTCAGATGCGTCTCCCTTCTATTACCTCTCCTATGGCATTCTTGCAATAATTCTGTTCTGTTTCTGTTAGTCAGAATCATCTGTTACTGGCAAAAGAATCCTAGCAACATGGCAGCCTTCTCAGTCTCACTGTCAGATTAAATAACTTCTTCTAGGTCTTAAGTATATTATTTGGTAAAGTTATAATTTACAAAATGCAGCCCCTTATTTACTTTGTATTATTTGATTTCTCCACATCACCTATGAAATATTTGGAACAAGTTAGCTCCATTTTATTGAGGAGAAAACTGAGTGTGGATTATACTAAGCAACTTGTCCAAGCTACCACAATTCAAACTTTCCTCATTCTCAACTGTATACTTGTTCTTTACTTGATGCATTTAGTGCTGTCTCCTCCAAAAACAGACTCTCTGGGGGCTTTTTAATGATTTGTTCCTAAATTTCCTATATTGGCAATCCCCTTCAACTTTGATTTTCAAGCTCCAATGTTACACCTCTTAAGGATCCGTGTCTAGTTATCACAGACCACAGTAATCTCTTTTTTGAACTTGTACAATTCTTAA